AAATAACTCACCAATATATCAAATATATCCCTTTGATGTACATGAATCGTTATCAATGTCTCAAAATTAGTACGCTCCATTTTTGTGAGATTTCTTGTCGTCTGATCAATTAAAGTATTTAGAATATCCAGAAATTTATTATTTGTTTCAGACATGACTTTCCTCTCATGCCTGGCCTGCATCAGAGCCATTTCCGCATCGCGTGTCCAAATCATTTGTATGCCCAATAGGCCTACTTGGGCCGGTACCTTCTCTAGAAAACCTAATAGAGTGAAATTTGGATCATTGATTGTGGCATAGGCGGTACGTATAATGGAATGTAATGACTGCTGTGCTGTGACCAGTAATTGAGTTAGCCATGTCTCAACGGAACCCTCCGCTCGTATGGCACGATCTAATTGTATCATTTCACCTTCACTGGAAATAATCGCCATCATTTTATTGTATTCTATATCATGGAATTTAACTTTACGCGTATTATCGAATATGGACAGTAAATGGTTTTGTATGGTATGCGAATCGGAAGCTTGTCCCAAAATCTCCAATAAAGCGGGATCGGAGACAAAAAAGAATCTGGGAAACATCATACGTTTACGCTCTAAATAGCCACTTAGGGATTTTTGACATATTTCCAATTGTTCTTGTAGATGAGGCAGCAATTGTTTCAACAAATCATCGCCCACACAACAGGCTACTACACCCGGGGTTTCATGAGCTCTTTGCATAATCTTTTGCCAGGATTTATCGATTTTGGAAAATCTTTTAGCTTCTTTAGGCAATTGCTTGGCAATGTCACCGCCCACAAATACAGCTTCCAAATAAACCCACATATTCTGCACCAAAAGCCATCTTTCCAAGATCTCATTGGAATTGGAAAGATCATAGACCCATTGCTGAATTTGCTTGCGAAAAGGTGCATTATAGCGATTGGAGAGCAAAGAACCCAAAATCATTAAACTATCCTCCAGTTGACCTATGGTCTCTGCTGTGGTATCACCTCTCAGCAGTAGTTCGCCTCGATTGTTAAAACTCATAAATTGTAGTTCATGTACAGACCACTCATTGGTCACTTGCTTCAATTTCGCCTCTATATCTTTCTCTTTCATGGCACTTATACAAATATCCTCTATATCTTCTTTATGTTTGAGCAAAGGAGCCTCCAATATATTCTTTAAAGAAAAACCTTCAGAATCAAATTCAAAAATATAATTGCTAACATCCATAATTCTTTGCCAATGTCTAGGTTTCATGGCCTTATTAGCCATTAACTCGAGCAAAGGACACATATCATTAAAATCATCTATGGTTTTCTTTAAAGCATGAAAAGCCGGCCATTCCTTTAAGCCCTTGGGCAGCTTACGACAACGATTTTGAAATTCCATTAATTCATTATTAATCTCCTCTATATCCACCTCATTCCAGGGTATATCATAATAACTACTAACACGATCTATAACATCATTATATAGTTTATATAATTTCTGCAATAGATTCAATTCCTTTCGAATTTGACCCAATTCCGGGTAGTCAGTTTGTGGCAAACCAAATAGTTCTTCACCACTTTGATAGGTCTGCAATCTACGCCACATTCCCTCAAAACGATTCTGGAAAAGTATTAAACGATCCGATGCTTCTCTCGGAGTTAAACCGGGCTGCATGGGTCCCGCCGTGCGATATTCATTGACATATGTGATTTTATCTTGTTTGAAATTATCCAAATTAGTTTTCAAATCATCTTGGAATGAGGGTTGCATTTCCAATAATTTAACTTGAGCCTGCAGAGCACAGGCTAAAAGATTCTGGAATGTTGATCTTAAATTGTCCACCAAATCGAATTGTTCTCTTTCAACTTGTACTTCGTAACGTGTTAGAACATTAAAGGCCTCCTAAAAATACAAAGAAAAATGTGTTATTAAAATTGGCAGATAAATATAGCATACTTATAAGCGAGAAAGAACTTCAAAATAAATATTATAACTCTTGAAACTTTACCTCAATTGGATCAATGCGCAATTCCATATCCACCTCTTGTTCTCTAATCTTACTCAGTGTCTCCATAATCATGCGTACATCATCCAAGTCTCGTATAGGACGATCTAATTTACGATCCATTTCATTGATAACAGCATATACATAATCCATTTCCTTTTTATATTTTTTCTTCATGGCTTGTCCAATTTTATGATTGCAAGCTAGAATTAAAAAAAAAAAAAAACAATTTCAAATATCTGAAAATAATCCTTGAAGTAAATAAATTACTCACATTTAATTTCTATAGCCAAACCATATTTCAATCTTTCATTATAAACAGCTATAGACTGACCAAATACTTCCATATCAGGTTCTATCAAAAGATTAGCATCCAATTCCGCTAGACATCTTAGGGTAGACTCAAATTCTTGTAAACCAAATTCCATAAGTTGTCTGGTGGTACGATCATTTTTCCAAAGGAAATGATAAGGTTTCCAACGTTTTATATACGTTTGTATTTCGGGTTTAATATTTTTAGTGCAATTCGATAAAAGATTCAAAGCTTTAGCCACTTCCTTATTATCCATAATGGCCGAATAGAAAGATTTTAGCATATGAGGCATTTGTGGACGTTCTTCGGAGGCTAAGGTATATAGTTTACGACGTTTGGTATTATGATTACGTCCTACCCGAGGCTGAGGTGTTATGGATACTTGCTAAAGAGAATTACAAGTAAGTTTATTTACAATTTTAAAAATTCTATAACATCCTTCTCTACTTACCGGATTTTCTTTACCACTAGCCCACTGGGCCACTCCCTTAGCTATGCCAGTTATATTTTTACCTGCTGTTATCAATATTTCTTGCAATTCCTCTAGATTAGGTTTGATCACCACATTGGGTATTTGTAGTTGGGCGTATAGAGCAAATACCGGTTTCTTTATTGCAGTATCATCATCATCGGCTATAAAACGTCGTCGTATAGTATCCAAAGCAGCTCTAATAACTTTTATTAAAACATCTATAACTTTGCGACTATAATAGCGTCTCATTTCCACTACAGCATTACAAACCATGTCCTAAACATATTAAGCGGGAATTAATATTTATTCTGACCCTTATTTGACTAATAAACATATAAACGAACCTGCATGCCTTTGGGTAAACTTTCCGAAGTGGCCAACAAAGTTAGGGGATTATCAAAACAAGACCATAAAATACTCCAATCTTGTTGTTGGCCACCAGAAGCGCCACCTCCACCACTATTCGAAGTAGAAGCACCACCTGCAGCTGCACTAGTACCGGCCCCAGCAGCATCTCCACCTTTTCTAGCCGAACCAGTTTGATCCTTAGCTGAAACTATACAAAAATATATCTAACTAATTTTGTAATTTTCCGATAACTCATTATAGCGAACAAGAGCTGAGTTTTTGATGGGAAAAAAAACATCACCTTGACTAAGAGGTTAGTCAATCGGGGAAACCAAAAAATTGTATTTTATTAATCTTTTTATACATTGACTTACCATCAAATAATGTCACAACATCATCTCCAGCTATTTCCTTAAACTTTTCTGTGGCCTTATCCACCAAATTTAAAACTTCTTCGACAGCTTCTGAAACCATTTGACTTTTACGATTTAATTCTATAGCTGCTTTTCGACAAGACTCTTCACTCTTTTCCAAAACTCATCAACAGTCCAGATTTCATCGTCTGGAATTTTTTGTTGTTTAGATTTCATAAAATAAAAATTTGATTTTCGTATAAACTCACCTCCGGGAAGGACTTGTAATGATATCTCCTGCATACACATTAACACATGCAATATACGATTGGAGTAAATATCATGTATCCTTGCTACCAGAACTTCAAACGTTTCAATCGCTTGTTTGCAGCGTTCATAGAATTTATGCCAGTTTTGGTTGGTCCACTGAAATTAAATGTCATAAGTAAGTCCGAATATACTAAAAATAAAATTAAAATCAGACGTATGTATATGAAAGTGATTTGTGCAGAACTGAACTAGAACTGAACCAGAACTGAACTAGAACTGAACTAGAACTGAACTAGAACTGAACTAGAACTGAACTAGAACTGAACTAGAACTGAACTAGAACTGAACTAGAACTGAACTAGAACTGAACTATAACTGAACTAGAACTGAACTTGAACTGAACTAGAACTGAACTAGAACTGAACTAGAACTGAACTAGAACTGAACTAGAACTGAACTAGAACTGAACTAGAACTGAACTAGAACTGAACTAGAACTAGAACTGAACTAGAACTGAACTAGAACTGAACTAGAACTGAACTAGAACTGAACTAGAACTGAACTAGAATTGAACTAGAACTGAACTAGAACTGAACTTAACTGAACTAGAACTGAACTAGAACTGAACTAGAACTGAACTAGAACTGAACTAGAACTGAACTAGAACTGAACTAGAAACTGAACTAGAACTGAACTAGAACTGAACTAGAACTGAACTAGAACTGAACTAGAACTGAACTAGAACTTTACTAGAACTGAACTAGAACTGAACTAGAACTGAACTAGAACTGAACTAGAACTGAACTAGAACTGAACTAGAACTGAACTAGAACTGAACTAGAACTGAACTAGAACTGAACTAGAACTAAACTAGAACTGAACTAGAACTGAACTAGAACTGAACTAGAACTGAACTAGAACTGAACTAGAACTGAACAAGAACTGAACTAGAACTGGACTAGAACTGAACTAGAACTGAACTAGAACTGAACTAGAACTGAACTAGAACTGAACTAGAACTGAACTGAACTAGAACTGAACTAGAACTGAACTAGAACTGAACTAGAACTGAACTAGAACTGAACTGAACTAGAACTGAACTAGAACTGAACTAGAACTGAACTAGAACTAGAACTGAACTAGAACTGAACTAGAACTGAACTAGAACTGAACTAGAACTGAACTAGAATTGAACTAGAACTGAACTAGAACTGAACTAGAACTGAACTAGAACTGAACTAGAACTGAACTAGAACTGAACTAGAACTGAACTAGAACTGAACTAGAACTGAACTATAACTGAACTAGAATTGAACTAGAACTGAACTAGAACTGAACTAGAACTGAACAGAACTGAACTTAAAATAAACTAGAATTTGTGCTGAACTAAAAATGAACTAGCACGGAGTGATATTTGAATGGCTGTCATGTGAAAAAATGCACTTGATTCAAAAGGTTTTGCCTCAGTTTTCAAAATTCATAGTAATCATACTTACATTAATTGTGGTCAAACCTGGTTTCAGCATTGCCGTTAAACGTACAAGTTGAGGCAAAAACAAAGGCCTCACTTCCAACTTAACAGCTCTCACGGTACTAAGAAACATTTTTATAAGATGCTGAAAATATGTACAAATAAATTCCTCAAATTATCATCACTAACAATTCCCTACCACTACGTACATTCAATGAATCCTGAATGGTAATAAAATAATCCTGACGACTCATCAATGTAGCCGCCACTATCGGCAACTCAATATTTAATTTTGCCAAAAGCTTTGCCTCCCTTATCAACAGCGGTATTGTTGGATGTAAATTAACAAAAATACGATCACCTTGCAGAGACAACAAGGGCTGCAGTAGACAAGCATCTGCCACACTAACATCCTGATCTAACCATATGGCAATTATTTCATCTTCATACTCATGCAGTACGGTCATTACATGATTGAAACGATGCTCCAAATCACGACAGGGTGGTAAATTACCCAAAACAGGATGTTCACAGACAGCATCAACCAGTTCGCTTATATGACAATCCAAAGAACGAGTCCAATAGACACGACCCGCCATGGGTGGAAAATTCCGGCTAACCGGTGGATCATCTCTTTGCTTACGAAAAAGTTTTAAAACTCTCTCCACCTCTTTATCCACATAACGTATAATACGCAAATATTTCTCATCCATTTTAGTTAAAGGTATTTTCTCGCTAACCTTTTCGAAACGCACCAGAAATCGTATGCATTGTGGCGTTTCCCAGACAGTATCAAAATTCGTTTCAATCAAAGTTGCTATGGTATCTTTCAAAGTATCCGTTTTAGTAATGAATTTATCATAATCATCATTGAAATCAGCATTACGATGATCTAAATAATCATATTTCTTCGATAAAATATCTTTTTTGGCCTCTTCGAAAAGATTTGATGCCTCCTCTAAAGCTTCACCCAATAATAAACCCTCCAATCTCCTTTCAAAAAGATGATTATAGTCATCAATTAAATTAAACATTGAGGTAATTTTCGATAAACGTTCACAAAAGGTGTCGAATTTTCCGAAAACAAAATTTTCCGAAAATCCAAATGGTGTTTGATTAGGTAAAAACGGTTGCTCTCTAACGGTGTAGTAGGTCTCGTGATAAATGTGATTTAATTTAATGCAATTACTAAGTTTAGTGCGTACTAGATTACGGTCCTGAGACCAAATTGTTTCCTTGCAGCGGCAAGTTATATAGGATTTGCAGGTTTCTATCATTTGATTGGTGATCTGTAAAGAGAACACAGGAAATGTTCAGTCTACATTTAAGAAGTAGATAAATAGATAATTGAAATGTTATTTGTACTTTATAAGTAAGTACTACCTACCTTAACCATAAGTGCTGAAGTTCTTTCAGAGGTGTTGTAAAATTGTGAAACACTATAAATTAATCGTACTGTTTGTAAAAGGCTTAAAATAGACTCCTTCATGCAGACCTGTAATTGTAAAAATTATATTTATATAAAAAATAAAATCCACTTAACGATACAATATTTTCCAGATCTACAATTTGCAACGTATGGGAAATGCCACGTAAATTATTGGAAATTCGCCAAATTTTTCCGAACTTTGATTAAGATTAAGATTATTAAAAATTTTAATAATCTAATATTTTCCCACATATGTATACGAAAATTTGTATGTAATTCATATGGGAGGTGCGAAGTTTCCATGGAAAGTCTGCCGGGTTTTTTTAAATATTCACATGAATGTCAAAGCCCTTCATGTAAAATTTGAAGAATGTAGTTCTATTAGTTTCCCAGATAAACGAATTTTTGTCTCTAATTCATATGGGAGGTGCCGCTGCTCTCACCGGTAGTTAGTTAGTTAGTTAGTTAGTTAGTTAGTTAGTTAGTAGTTAGTAGTTAGTAGTTAGTTAGTTAGTTAGTTAGTAGTTTAGGTAGTTAGTTAGTTAGTTAGTTAGTAGTAGTAGTTAGTTAGTAGTCTTAGTTAGTTAGTAGTTAGTTAGTTAGTTAGTTAGTTAGTTAGTTAGTTAGTTAGTTAGTTAGTAGTAGTTAGTTAGTAGTTAGTAGTTAGTAGTTCGTTAGTTAGTTAGTAGTTAGTTGTTAGTTAGTTAGTTAGTGTTAGTTAGTAGTTAGTAGTTAGTTAGTTAGTTAGTTAGTTAGTTAGTTAGTTAGTTAGTTAGTAGTTAGTTAGTTAGTTAGTTAGTAGTTAGTTAGTTAGTTAGTTAGTTAGTTAGTTAGTTAGTTAGTTAGTTAGTTAGTTAGTTAGTTAGTTAGTTAGTTAGTAGTTAGTTAGTTAGTTAGTTAGGTTAGTTAGTTTGTTAGTTAGTTAGTTAGTTAGTTAGTTAGTTAGTTAGTTAGTTAGTTAGTTAGTTAGTTAGTTAGTTAGTTAGTTAGTTAGTTAGTTAGTTAGTTAGTTAGTTAGTTAGTTAGTTAGTTAGTTAGTTAGTTAGTTAGTTAGTTAGTTAGTAGTTAGTTAGTTAGTTAGTTAGTTAGTTAGTTAGTTAGTTAGTTAGTTAGTTAGTTAGTTAGTTAGTTAGTTAGTTAGTTAGTTAGTTAGTTAGTTAGTTAGTTAGTTAGTAGTTAGTTAGTTAGTTAGTTAGTTAGTTAGTTAGTTAGTTAGTTAGTTAGTTAGTTAGTTAGTTAGTTAGTTAGTTAGTTAGTAGTTAGTTAGTTAGTTAGTTAGTTAGTTAGTTAGTTAGTTAGTTAGTTAGTTAGTTAGTTAGTTAGTTAGTTAGTTAGTTAGTTAGTTAGTTAGTTAGTTAGTTAGTTAGTTAGTTAGTTAGTTAGTTAGTTAGTTAGTTAGTTAGTTAGTTAGTTAGTTAGTTAGTTAGTTAGTTAGTTAGTTAGTTAGTTAGTTAGTTAGTTAGTTAGTTAGTAGTTAGTTAGTTAGTTAGTTAGTTAGTTAGTTAGTTAGTTAGTAGTTAGTTAGTTAGTTAGTTAGTTAGTTAGTTAGTTAGTTAGTTAGTTAGTTAGTTAGTTAGTTAGTTAGTTAGTTAGTTAGTTAGTTAGTTAGTTAGTTAGTTAGTAGTTAGTTAGTTAGTTAGTTAGTTAGTTAGTTAGTTAGTTAGTTAGTAGTTAGTTAGTTAGTAGTTAGTAGTTAGTTAGTTAGTTAGTTAGTTAGTTAGTTAGTTAGTTAGTTAGTTAGTTAGTTAGTTAGTAGTTAGTTAGTTAGTTAGTTAGTTAGTTAGTTAGTTAGTTAGTTAGTTAGTTAGTTAGTTAGTTAGTTAGTTAGTTAGTTAGTTAGTTAGTTAGTTAGTTAGTTAGTTAGTTAGTTAGTTAGTTAGTTAGTTAGTTAGTTAGTTAGTTAGTTAGTTAGTTAGTTAGTTAGTTAGTTAGTTAGTTAGTTAGTTAGTTAGTTAGTTAGTTAGTTAGTTAGTTAGTTAGTTAGTTAGTTAGTTAGTTAGTTAGTTAGTTAGTTAGTTAGTTAGTTAGTTAGTTAGTTAGTTAGTTAGTTAGTTAGTTAGTTAGTTAGTTAGTTAGTTAGTTAGTTAGTTAGTTAGTTAGTTAGTTAGTTAGTTAGTTAGTTAGTTAGTTAGTTAGTTAGTTAGTTAGTTAGTTAGTTAGTTAGTTAGTTAGTTAGTTAGTTAGTTAGTTAGTTAGTTAGTTAGTTAGTTAGTTAGTAGTTAGTTAGTTAGTTAGTAGTTAGTTAGTTAGTTAGTTAGTTAGTTAGTTAGTTAGTTAGTTAGTTAGTTAGTTAGTTAGTTAGTTAGTTAGTTAGTTAGTTAGTTAGTTAGTTAGTTAGTTAGTTAGTTAGTTAGTTAGTTAGTTAGTTAGTTAGTTAGTTAGTTAGTTAGTTAGTTAGTTAGTTAGTTAGTTAGTTAGTTAGTTAGTTAGTTAGTTAGTTAGTTAGTTAGTTAGTTAGTTAGTTAGTTAGTTAGTTAGTTAGTTAGTTAGTTAGTTAGTTAGTTAGTTAGTTAGTTAGTTAGTTAGTTAATTAGTTAGTTAAAAAACTTAAACTTTCGAAACTACTATACAATATTTATCACGCTGGTAAATCGTATTTTGAAGTCTACATGTAGTTGAAGTCTTTTATGTATTTGTTTCTCGAATGCTCGATCAATTGCATGAAAAATTGTCTTGGAACTAAAGCTTCTTCAACGGCAATTTTTCGAATAAACATTTTTTTTATGAATTCATATTTTTATCGTGGCAATTTAGGGGGACTAGAGTGTCTGTAATTGTCAAACTTAAAGATTATTAAGTAGTTTTAGTATGAAATTTCCATTCATTGAGAGCATATAATCGAGTCTGAATTAAAACTATTCAATACTACCATTGATCCTAATTATATCAAATACATCCCTATACACTTACCGGATCATCCAAATACAACGAATGACAACAATGTTCCATGGCCTGAATAAATTTCGAATTATCCCTGGCCTCATTGTAGCAGAAAGTTATTTTACGATCAGTTTCCTTCCAATCACGCATCACTTTCGAATTAGCCAAATACAAACAATGCAAAGTAAACTGAACATCTTTCTCTTGTAAGTGAGCTAAAAGTTGTGAGAATTGTGCGCCACGTTTCTTCCAATACTCCAACTCATCCTGAGGTCCACTGTGATCATTTTCCTTGCGTAATTGTTCACTTTCACCCAATATCTTCATAATGCCCTTAATCCAATTGGTTACGCGCTCTTCGAGTTGATTACAAAATTCTTGATTTTTTGATAGGTCTTTGACCTCTTCGATTTGATCGATTTTCTCAAACATATCACAGCCATCATTAAAGACATTATAATGATCACAAACTTGTTCACACACACGTAAAGCACTGCAAAATGAACGTAATCCTGGCAAAAGTTGGCCCTTAATAAGGCCGCAACTAATGTCTTCTTCATCGCCTTCAAGGCTGGGAAAAGCCAAGGCCTGCATGAAAACATATTCAACAATACGTTCAATCGAAGTAACCAGACCAATATTTTTGGCATCAATAATGCCACAGAATCTAAAAGAAATATTTAAATTTGTTTAAGTTTAACTTTTAAACCTTCGACATAACAACAATAACAAAAAAATCATTTAAAATTAAATTCTCAAAAAGGTTTGTTTAACAATTTGTTAATCGATGTTTTGTCTTGCTCAATATTTATCTTAATAAATTTTAAAAGGGAAATATTTATTTTTATAAACAAGTATTTATTATCCTTTTTCTACGTTCAACTTACAAATCCTTTTGAAAACCCTCCTCAGGCAATTGTTTGGTTACATTTATGCGAAATATATAGATACAAATGCCGGTAAAAGCACATGTCCAGCCATCAGTTAGAAATAATTTTTTCTGCTTTACGAGTGCCGAACCACCTGGTGATGTACCACCACCTCCAGGACATCAACAAAAAAAGAATAAAATGATATGTGTTATAAAAATTATGGTTAGAATATGAATTCATGCATGCATTGATATGAATTCACAAATGGAAAATAAATATTAGTAGAACCTAAAATTTTTTTTAACAATTCGCATTCATTCATAAATAAAAAATTAGTTTTTGTTATAATTTAAAATGTGGATAAAAGGATAAATTTTTGAGATATCAAATAAATATGTACATATATCCAAAAATGTTTTGTTCCTTCGTTTAGGACGAATGTTATTGTATCCTTTAGAAGATATATAATTTGGATCAGACATAGAAAACTTTTAACAAAAATAGTTTAGGCTTTAAATATTTAACAGATTTACCGACTAGACTATAAACTAAACTATATGCTTGACTATAGACTACACTGTAGTCTGTAGACTGTAGTCTAAACTGTAGTCTAGACAAGACTATAGACTTGACTATAAGCTAGACTATCCTATAAACTAGACTATATACTAGTCTACAGATCATAGACTAGGTTATTTATTAGACTACAGACTAGACTATAGACTAGACTATAAACTAGACTATAGACTAGACTATAGACTAGACTATAGATTAGACTGTAGACTAGACTATAGACTATAGACTAGATTATATACTAGACTATATACTAGTCTACAGATCATAGACTAGGTTATTGATTAGACTACAGACTCGACTATAGACTAGACTATAAACTAGACTATAGACTAGACTATAGACTAGACTATAGACTAGGCTGTAGACTAGACTATAGACTAGACTATAGACTAGACTATATACTAGACTATGGACTAGACTATACACTAGATTATAAACTAGGCTATAGACCACACTATAGACTAGACTATAAACTAGACTATAGACTAGACTATAGACTAGACTATAGACTAGACTATAGACTAGAGTATAGACTAAACTATAGACTAGAGTATAGACTAGACTATAGACTATACTATAAACTAGACTATATACTAGTCTACAGATCATAGACTAGGTTATTGATTAGACTACAGACTAGACTATAGACTAGACTATAAACTAGACTATAGACTAGACTATAGACTAGACTGTAGACTAGACTATATACTAGACTATGGACTAGACTATACACTAGATTATAAACTAGGCTATAGACTACACTATAGACTATACTATAGACTAGACTATAGACTAGACTATAGACTAGACTATAGACTAGACTATAGACTAGACTATAGACTAGACTATAGACTAGACTATAGACTAGACTATAGACTAGACTATAGACTAGACTATAGACTAGACTATAGACTAGACTATAGACTATACTATAAACTAGACTATATACTAGTCTACAGATCATAGACTAGGTTATTGATTAGACTACAGACTAGACTATAGACTAGACTATAAACTAGACTATAGACTAGACTATAGACTAGACTGTAGACTAGACTATATACTAGACTATGGACTAGACTATACACTAGATTATAAACTAGGCTATAGACTACACTATAGACTATACTATAGACTAGACTATAGACTAGACTATAGACTAGACTATAGACTAGACTATAGACTAGACTATAGACTAGACTATAGACTAGACTATAGACTAGACTATAGACTAGACTATAGACTAGACTATAGACTAGACTATAGACTAGACTATAGACTAGACTATAGACTAGACTATAGACTAGACTATAGACTAGACTATAGACTAGACTATAGACTAGACTATAGACTAGACTATAGACTAGACTATAGACTAGACTATAGACTAGACTATAGACTAGACTATAGATTAGACTGTAGACTAGACTATAGACTAGATTATATACTAGACTATATACTAGTCTACAGATCATAGACTAGGTTATTGATTAGACTACAGACTCGACTATAGACTAGACTATAAACTAGACTATAGACTAGACTATAGACTAGACTATAGACTAGGCTGTAGACTAGACTATAGACTAGACTATAGACTAGACTATATACTAGACTATGGACTAGACTATACACTAGATTATAAACTAGGCTATAGACCACACTATAGACTAGACTATAAACTAGACTATAGACTAGACTATAGACTAGACTATAGACTAGACTATAGACTAGAGTATAGACTAAACTATAGACTAGAGTATAGACTAGACTATAGACTATACTATAAACTAGACTATATACTAGTCTACAGATCATAGACTAGGTTATTGATTAGACTACAGACTAGACTATAGACTAGACTATAAACTAGACTATAGACTAGACTATAGACTAGACTGTAGACTAGACTATATACTAGACTATGGACTAGACTATACACTAGATTATAAACTAGGCTATAGACTACACTATAGACTATACTATAGACTAGACTATAGACTAGACTATAGACTAGACTATAGACTAGACTATAGACTAGACTATAGACTAGACTATAGACTAGACTATAGACTAGACTATAGACTAGACTATAGACTAGACTATAGACTAGACTATAGACTATACTATAAACTAGACTATATACTAGTCTACAGATCATAGACTAGGTTATTGATTAGACTACAGACTAGACTATAGACTAGACTATAAACTAGACTATAGACTAGACTATAGACTAGACTGTAGACTAGACTATATACTAGACTATGGACTAGACTATACACTAGATTATAAACTAGGCTATAGACTACACTATAGACTATACTATAGACTAGACTATAGACTAGACTATAGACTAGACTATAGACTAGACTATAGACTAGACTATAGACTAGACTATAGACTAGACTATAGACTAGACTATAGACTAGACTATAGACTAGACTATAGACTAGACTATAGACTAGACTATAGACTAGACTATAGACTAGACTATAGACTAGACTATAGACTAGACTATAGACTAGACTATAGACTAGACTATAGACTAGACTATAGACTAGACTATAGACTAGACTATAGACTAGACTATAGACTAGACTATAGACTAGACTATAGACTAGACTATAGACTAGACTATAGACTAGACTATAGACTAGACTATAGACTAGACTATAGACTAGACTATAGACTAGACTATAGACTAGACTATAGACTAGACTATAGACTAGACTATAGACTAGACTATAGACTAGACTATAGACTAGACTATAGACTAGACTATAGACTAGACTATAGACTAGACTATAGACTAGACTATAGACTAGACTATAGACTAGACTATAGACTAGACTATAGACTAGACTATAGACTAGACTATAGACTAGACTATAGACTAGACTATAGACTAGACTATAGACTAGACTATAGACTAGACTATAGACTAGACTATAGACTAGACTATAGACTAGACTATAGACTAGACTATAGACTAGACTATAGACTAGACTATAGACTAGACTATAGACTAGACTATAGACTAGACTATAGACTAGACTATAGACTAGACTATAGACTAGACTATAGACTAGACTATAGACTAGACGGTATTTTTTCGATATGAAAAAGTATCGAAAGAAGTACTAAATACTGAATTTTCCATCTATGATTTGGATCATACCATTCTGTAGGTATATTATAAAATTCTTCAAATTATGAAATCTACGTCTCTTACCTTGAGGCGTTTTTGAACTACTCGATGCCATAGCCGAACGTGATGTACTAGGCTTATTAGGATCCATAACAGGTTGCGGTTCCGGTTCATCGACTTCTTGATAAAACCATAATAGTTTATTTTTCATATTAGGTAAAAATAACTGATTGATTTCATCCAGCTTAAGAAAAGTATATGGATTACCTTAAAACAAATCGCACGAAATATATAATCCATATTATTTAATACTAACCATATCACCCTCAAATATATAATCCATTAACTGATGACGCGGTAATTGCGTAGCATCTATTAATAATTGAAAAGTGAATTCCAAACGGGGATCCATTTCCCCACGCCTTGCCTTACGTTCACATTCTTCACGTCTCCGCTGTGCTTCGTCAGCGTCGGTGGCCATTTTATTTTAATAATGGTTTGTTTTCGTAGTCCCAGACCAATAGTGGTTCAGAAAAAATCAATATATTGTGTTTAAGGCAAAAAATATGTTTTTTTTTTTTTTTTGTTTTGGAAGTGCACATTGTAAAAAACGAGGCGGAAAGATGTCGTTTCAAAAATAATGGCAAGTACCAAAAAACAAAATCAAAGAGGACAAAAATTTTAAAAAAGTTTTGCTTGTGTTGAGTATAAAAGTTTTAAAAAAAACTTTTACAAAATTCAAAAAGTTTATAAAAAAAATTGTTTATATTAAATATATGTATAAAAAATATATTATTTAATTATAAATTCATACTTAATTGTTAATAATTTATTAAAAATATTAATTGAAGTGTTATTAAATTCAAAAATTGTGCAAAAGAGTAAAATTTTGCTTTTTCAAAAATTAGTTAAAATAAAATACTTTTTTTCAAGTCAGTTTTAATTTCTTAATGAGTGAATGGAAAAACCTTTTATAGATCATGTAATAACGTATACATTATCTACTTCATTACCAACATATCTAGAGACTTTAAAAATGTCTAAAAACATAATTTGAAGAGGATTGTTAAACTCTATGATAAAGTGTATTGGAATTTTAATTCCAATTGGAGTGGCGATTTCAAAGATTTTAGTTTTTTCGTCACAGCACTCAGTTATCCTCCCTCTGCTTAATTCCTCTCTCATTTCTTAATCTTGTAAAAAGATTAGTCGCTAAAAGCTCTCCTAGGGTGCCACGACACGTAACGGTTATAACTCCTAGTTTAATCCATGAACACCGTTACTGCATGGATTGCCCGTGCATTGATAATCCCCATACTCAAACAACTCAATGGCTAAACCACACACTCATTATCAACATTCCGCCGGAATCCAAATCGACTAGGATGTTGGCCCTTATTCTACATTTCAATTCGCAGAATTCACATTTTCAATTTGAATTCTGCATTTCGATTCTACTCTCCGCCACATAAACAACAACTTACAAAATCGTAGGTACGATCGTAACGCAGAATACACACATCCGTAAAGCATTGAAACGAAATGGAATTGGAATTTTTCTTACGATTCAGTTTTTTGTTGGAATACCTTTTTTCGATCTTTGCATAATTGAATGCGTAAACGTAATCGATATGCAGAATAGGGGTGGTTATTAAATGGGCAATCAACACTTTTGACCTGGTCCTATAACTAGACCAATGGAAAGGAAAATGGAAGCTATAACCGTTATCCAAGTATCCCCCAACACGCATACACCAAGGGTAAATCGGTTGAAACCTAGTTGAACATACTTATCTAGAATTCGGAGATTACACTATAGTGACCATTCTGAACATAGAATGTGCATATAAGAATGTAAAATCTGATATCATTCTATCAGATCTACAAGAACTTAAAATAGATGCTTCAACAATAATGTTCAGAAAAGACCTTCTTAAATATCGGATTATAAATTCCAACATGGGTACAGAAATGATCCAAAGAAAGACAAACAGGCTCAACACAAGCAGGTATTCTCTCTCCACTTCTGTGGAATGTTGCCATAAACTGTTTATATCCTCCCAACACGCATATACCAAAGGTAAATCGTTTGAGATTGCATTTCATTACCTAGTTGGCCATATCTAGAATTAAAATATTACACGATAGTGACCATTCTGAACGCAGAAGTTGAAATACAGAAATGATCCAATGAAAGGTAAACAGAGGCACACCACAAGGAAGTATTCCCTCTCTACTTCTGTGGAATGTTGCCATAAACTGTTTGCTCAAAACACAGGATTCCTTGAGATATAAACAAATAAAGGCAATAGGCCTTTGCAGACGACGTTGCACAATATCACAAAGACGGGAAAATGCACTCAAAATACTTAGTCGATGAAGCATCAAAAGTAGTTTGGTTGTAAATCCAAGCAAAATCCACTCTTTTACACAACTTCGTGTGAACACGAAGTTGTTCTCCCACTTTCGGACTGTGCAAAATACCTAGGCGTTATTTGCGATAGTAAACTATTATTGAAACCTAACGTCATGGCAAATGTACATCTGCAAGAAAGCTATACCCAGTAAAAATAAAACGAAGTACTTCCAAAAGAATAACATTCATCACCACTTCAAAAGTAGCCCTAAGTGAATTTGTTTTACCTTCTGAGGAAGTGATGTTTAAAGATTTCCGAAGAAGCGAAAATAATTATATTTTTTCAATGCTATGATGAGAAAAAATTTTATTTCTGGGCTTTTGTATTAAGGGTTTATATTATTTAAGTCAAATTATGTAGTTGTATTCAATAATACTACAATTTCACTTCCGAATAACTTCCAAAGTCATTCTTGAGAATGACTTTAGAAGTAGTAAATTTGGAATAAAATATGGCAAGTCTGTGTTAAAATCATCACTTCTTCAGGTCTTTTTCAGTACTTAGATGGAGTAAATTCTACTTCTTTTTCGCTTCTTTAGAAGTTCTGTTTTTTTTATTTTTTATTTTTTTTTTTTTTTGATGGGATAAAAGCAAAATGGTGGAAAACCCCGAACTTGGATTTTGAAGCGCTTAGTGCTGGTCCACATACGGAAACTTTAGTTGCGAAACTTTTTCCTTATTCTCTTTTAAAGTTTCCTTAATGTCTACACATAGAATCTTTTGTTTCAGAAACTACGTGTTAATCGCATTGATTTGTTTTTGTACGAATGAGAAGAATAACAAAACAAGTTTCCGAGTACGAGAGACTCCGTACCGCGAAAAAGATAAATGATATTTCGTTATCTCTCACACAAAATCAAAAGTTTCTCAAAAAAAGTTTCCTGATGTAGACGGGCACTTATCAAGTCAATTATGTTTATGGAGGTATTGCAAACTCCTTGTCAAAGTTCTGAGGAGAATGTCAATCCTAATACGGATCACTGGGGACAATTTCAAGGAAATCCCTATTTACGTTAAAATTTTATTTTTTTCCTTTTCTGAAAAATTTAAATTTTGAAATATACTTTTGTAGTTATAACTATGGCCAATAAAAACGGAACGACAAAATCAGTATACCGCTAATTTTTTGGCCATAAATATTATTTAAATTAATTAATTATTTTAATTATTGGTTAGTTAGACATATTCTAAATACTTCATACTTCTTAAAATTAAGGTAAATAAGTTCAAAAATATTTTAAAAACAGGTATTTGCACAATAGGCCAAATGTTTAGTTTATGTTAGTTTATTAAAAAGAAATTGCCGCCAATTCAAAAATTTAGGCATGTGCAGAGCGTTACATACAAAAAGTGACAAAAATATTATAAAAAATTAAAAACTAATTATGAGGATATCTGCAATGATAAACAAAATATAAAGAAAAATTTTCTTTAGAGAAACTATAATTTTGTAAGGATTTACAACAAAAAAATTGTTTGCATGTCAATTTGGTAATTTGAACAGTAGAAAACCCAATAGGAAAGAATTTGAATAATTTCCTAACGATATTAAGACATAAAATATTTGTTTAATATATAATGCATTAGTTTTACCATTTGAGTATTAAAATGTACTGAATTTTAATAGACCAATGGAACTTTTTTAGAATACACAACATTTGCCATACACCAAATAATTTCTGGCAAAATATTTCCAACTGGGTCTTAAAAAAAATTCAATATCGATTAAACACTTTATTTTTTCACTTATTTATATGGCAACCACTGAAAAAAGATTAAGATTATATAATTCTGTACAATTTTAGAAATTTGTTAAAAAAATACATAAAATAACTAAAATTTTAATAAAACAATAATTTAAACATTTTGTTAATTCCATTTCTCGTTTCACCTGTAGTATATCGCCCTCTTCTTCCTCCTCTTCGGAACTAGTATCGCCACGTATTTGGGCAGCATGTTGTGCAAAATGTGCTCTGGTATTTTTGTGCACAAACATCCTTCCTGTGTAGGTGTAATTTCACGCAATATTTTTTTTCAAAATTCAAAAATTCTTCACTTTAAATTATTAATTAATAAGTTTTGCAAACAAATTATTTAATTTTTACTATTATTTTAATTATTTTCACAGAGAGCAGTAGTTTCTGCTGCAATCTGTAAACTTTGGAAAATTTGTTCTGAGAAAAATATTGATTTAATATCTAAATGTAACTCTTAGTAACCGGTTGTTAGGAGACCTAGCTGTAAAATGTTTTTATTGATTTAACATGACCTGTTGCTGTTTGGTATCAACAAGTTTAATATGCGATACCTGTTGGAGTTAAAATTTCAGTTGTCAATATTTATAATATATGGATAGATATTGTATTTATTTGTTGATAAACCTGTTGCCTTGAGTTTAATAAACTTTGACCTAGAGAACAATTTTCAAGTGGATAGTTTTTGTATTTATTTGTTTAAAAACCTGTTGCTTGAGTTCAATGAGCTTTGACCTAGAGGTAAAATTTCGAATGCTATTTACATAGAAACCAGTTGTTAGGTAGTCCATTAAAGGATTTACATATACTGTGTATGCCAGAATAAAGATTACTTTCTGAGTTATTAAAACAATGTTTATCTGTTGCTGAATATAAAATCGTTTCCACCTGTTGTGTTGATCGGTTGTTAGGAGAGTCACGTTTAGAAATTGTTTAAAAATGCGAAATATGCTCTTCAGTGAGGAATCAATTATGGGCCAAGCTCTACAGTATCATTTCTTGATTGAAATCCTTTACGTAGAGTATATATAAAGTCATTTCCTGAAGGAGGCTAATATGGACCGATGTTCGCCGCACTAAACTGTATAATTTCCTGATGTATAATACTTACTTCTATTTAAGCAATATTCTAGGGGGTAACTTTTAATGGTGCTAGAAGAAATCGTGGACCGATATTACCCATTTTCCCTACCAATATGTTGATATTCAATAAGGAAATCGTATTATCAGTTTTTTTCCAATTAGAGCATAGTTGACCAACTATATATTCTTAAGTTTTTGTTGAATTTTCTTTTATTTAAACAATTTAAATGATTTATTAACAATATTTATCGATCATTACAAATTTTCTTTGGATTTTCAAATTAAGTGTGTTCTGCATCGGTTGAAATAAAGAGAGTTTTTCGTACAATTTACTTTTCAAAGAACCAGTTTTATATGCTACAGATACCCTGTGATGCCAACAAAATTTGAAACAAGTCGAGACCAAATACATTACTGATCACTTACATCACATATTTATCTCAAAAACCTATGATAGAGAAATTGGATTAAATTAGGATAGAGATTCGGATTTAGAGATATTTAATCCTTTAGAAATGTATACATTGGTATAAAAATGTGTTGGCCCGTTTAATATATAGGACTCTTTTGGTCCCACCAAATATATATTATGAATATTTGACTTTGGGTAGTTTTTCAAACTCTTTTTACTGTCTTTGGCGATCGCCCCCCCGGGCATGTTTCCTTGATGTTCAGACCGCATCTTGGTGTATTGCAATCCGGGGGTAGATAGGTGCTACCAATACCTGTAGTCTTCCGGGACTATAAATTGGTGTTGACGATTTACTGCCTGGCCTAGTCCTTGCATAAATTGAAAAGAGGTCTAACCAGAGCACCACATAATCTGGTACTACGGGTGGCCAGTTGCCCACAGGACTTGTCCTGGCTGGTCAGTTGGTTGAGGTTCCTTCGGGATCCACGTAGTGGCTGTGGTTTAAACCTAAATCGCAGGAAGGGGGTGCTTGGTTAAAAGACTGATACACGGTGAAATATAAATTTTCAAGATACATTTCTGTTATCGTTCCTAGATGCAAGGAGCGGTACAAATTACAGAGCATGACTGTGGATTAATAAAATGTTGGAATTGAGCTGATAATGCGAAGAATTGGTAAACGAAGATGAACGATGTTTCTGATGTCTACTTTGAATTCTATAAAGAGAATGGAGTGATTGATGGATTTGACGGATGTGTGATAAATGGGTACAGATGTAAGATGAACGATGAATGATGAATGAGAGTTAGACTACGGTCTATCTAGCCAATGGAGTGCGAAGTCGTCACTGCCCTTTCTTTAATTTTGAAGCGATTTTCCAACATGGTTGAGTGTATGCTCAACTTATCACAGTGGGTGTCTGTGACCACTGAAATAAAGTCTTGTCAATTAATATAATCTGTGTTTTTCGGACTACCAATTACGTCCCCTAGGTGCTGTTGCCGAATCAACAGAGCCTTAGTAGTGTGGTTGGGCGACATTATGTCGGGGTAGATTGAGCTTGCTCATGATACCTGTATTTCCTCAACGTGACTACTTTGGCAAGAGATTAGATAGCTCGAGTACTTGAGCAAAGTGCTTGTACATGGACCGGCATATCCATGTACGAAAATTGCGACCTGCGTGTAACAAACACAGTGGGGCAGTGGTGAGTTGTTTACTTGATACTCACCCAGTGGTTGAAAAAGTACCACCGTGGGGTAGGGCTACATAGCCAGGTACTCACGTAAAGCACTTCGACATCTTGTCTTTGGCGATCTTTGTATCACCACGTCTGAACTGCATAAACCATAAGCTTCGAATTGCATATTTTTAAGTTACACCCAATACACATAATTGTGTCCATTAAAGTGTTTTCAAAATATGGCTTATCCAAAATATAGTTCAAATCAGGCAGGGAAAATCCAGTACATTAGTACTTTTTTCAGTTCGAAAAATACATCGGTACCCCACCACAATATTTCCGGTATTTTTTCTTATTTATAAACTTTTGATAAGTAATCCAGTAGTCTATTGTCTAGTCTAGAGTATAGTCTAGTCAATAGTCAAGTCTATAGTAAAGTTTATACACCAGTATTTAGTTGAGTCTATAGTCTAGTTTGTAATCTATATATATAAAAATGAATGTGTGTTTGTTTGTATGTTTGAACGTTATAGACTACAAAACTGCTGAACCGATTTTCTTGAAATTTTCACAGCGTATTCCTGTATGTCTGGAATAGGTAATAGGCTACTTTTTTTTTGAAATTTCAAGTGGGCGAAAATATTAAATCCGTATATTTGAGATAAATTAACAATTAGAGTCCTCAAATTTTGTCGGAGCCACTTTAGTGTCAATATGATTATTTAGGACAAAAAGTGGGCGGACTAGCATTAGGGGGCGTGGCACCTCCCATATAAATTAAAAACAAAAATTCGTTTATCTTAGAAACAATTACAGTTAGAATCCTAAAATTTTGCACAAATAACTTTAACATCCATGTTAACATTTTGGGAAATAAATTGGCGGACTACCCATGAGGGGAGCGGCACCTCCCATATTAATATTAATTAAATGCAAAAATTCGTTTATCTGGGAAACTAATAGAACAAAATTCTTCAACTTTTGCACTAAGAACTTAAATATTCGTCTGAACATTTTGGATGAAAAAGATCGGATTCCATCTGGGGGGGGGGGGGGGGTGCTTGAAGCCCCCATATGAATTAAATAGAAAAATTCGTATATCTGAGAAACTATTAGAGCTAGAATCTTCAAATTTTACTTGAAAAACTTTGACATTCATCTGAACAATTAGAGTATAACGGGCGGACTTTCAATGGGGGACTTGGTACCTCCCATATTAATTAAATACAAAATTTCGTTTATCTGGGCAACTAATAGAACTAGATTCTTCAAATTTTTCAGAAATTACTCAATAATCATCTGAATATTTTGGAGGAAAAAGATCGGACTTTCATTTGGGGAGCTTGAAGCCCCCACATGAATGAAATAGAAAAATTGTATATCTGAGAAACTATTAGAGCTAGAATCTTAAAATTTTACATAAAAAACTCTGACATTCATCTGAACATTTAGAGAATAACGGGCGAGCTTTCAATTGGGGGCTTGGCACCACATAAATGAATTAAATACAAAACTTCGTATATCTTGGAAACTATTATATTATTAAATTTTTTCATAGATAGATAGAAATTGGCGAACTTTCAGTAATTTGCTTGGCATCTCTAATATGTAACATATTGTAAATCTAGGGAACTCTTGCAGTTAGAATCTTCAAAATCGTTAAGTGGGTTTTTATTTATACTGCTTTTAGGGTAGCAAAGCACACTGGGTAAAGCTAGTATATTATATATATTATAGTATATAGTCTAGTCTATAGTCTAGTCTATATTCTAGTCTATAGTCTAGTCTATAGTCTAGTCTAGTCTATAGTCTAGTCTATAGTCTAGTCTATAGTCTAGTCTATAGTCTAGTCTATAGTCTAGTCTATAGTCTAGTCTATAGTCTAGTCTATAGTCTAGTCTATAGTCTAGTCTATAGTCTAGTCTATAGTCTAGTCTATAGTCTAGTCTATAGTCTAGTCTATAGTCTAGTCTATAGTCTAGTCTATAGTCTAGTCTATAGTCTAGTCTATAGTCTAGTCTATAATCTAGTCTATAATCTAGTCTATAGTCTAGTCTATAGTCTAGTCTATAGTCTAGTCTATAGTCTAGTCTATAGTCTAGTCTATCTAGTCTATAGGTCTATAGTCTAGTCTATAGTCTAGTCTATAGTCCTAGTCTATAGTCTAGTCTATAGTCTAGTCTATAGTCTAGTCTATAGTCTAGTCTATAGTCTAGTCTATAGTCTAGTCTATAGTCTAGTCTAAGTCTAGTCTATAGTCTAGTCTATAGTCTAGTCTATAGTCTAGTCTATAGTCTAGTCTATAGTCTAGTCTATAGTCTAGTCTATAGTCTAGTCTATAGTCTAGTCTATAGTCTAGTCTATAGTCTAGTCTATAGTCTAGTCTATAGTCTAGTCTATAGTCTAGTCTATAGTCTAGTCTATAGTCTAGTCTATAGTTAGTCTAGTCTAGTCTATGTCTAGTCTATAGTCTAGTCTATAGTCTAGTCTATAGTCTAGTCTATAGTCTAGTCTATAGTCTAGTCTATAGTCTAGTCTATAGTCTAGTCTATAGTCTAGTCTATAGTCTAGTCTATACTAGTCTAGTCTAGTCTAGTCTATAGTCTAGTCTATAGTCTAGTCTATAGTCTAGTCTATAGTCTAGTCTATGGTCTAGTCTATAGTCTAGTCTATAGTCTAGTCTATAGTCTAGTCCATAGTCTAGTCTATAGTCTAGTATATAGTCTAGTCCATAGTCTAGTATAGTCTAGTCTATAGTCTAGTCTATAGTCTAGGCTATAGTCTAGTCTAAAGTCTAGTCTACGGTAAAGCCTATAGTCCAGTCTATAGTTTAATCTATGGTCCAGTCTAAAGTCTAATATATAGTCTAGTCTATGGTAAAGTCTATAGTCCAGTCTATAGTTTAATCTATGGTCCAGTCTAAAGTCTAATATATAGTCTAGTCTATGGTAAAGTTTATAGTCCAGTCTATAGTTCAATCCGTCTATAGTCTTATATATCGTCTATTCTATAGCCGTTTTCTGCAATTCTTTAAGTATGTTTCTACAACTACCATTATACTAAGAAATTTCATTATGAATGACTTATCACCTGTCATATACTTCAAAATGATCTAGTTACAGTTAAAATTCTATCAACAAATACAGCGAATAAAAGAATATTTATTATTCTTTTTTTATTTAAGTTGATATGGTGAAAAACGAAAAACACTAACAAATTCATACACATACATTTAACTTACAAAAACAAATAAACTATAAATAGTTAAAATGTATATTTTAATCAGATAGTTTAGTATACAACTATATTTTTTATGACACCTTTAGAAGTGATATTATTTGTTCGTTTTACCTTTTTTACTTACTTGTGTTATTTCTACCACTTCATTTCATTTAAAACGAACAAAAATAAATAAACTTATAAAGAAAACAACACTAAGGTGGGTAATAAGTATGAAGATAAAGTGTTACGTACTTTTATGATCAACTTGATATTCATTCTTATTATTATTTTTAAAAATTTTACTATACACAAATACTTGTACATTTGCTACGACTATACTTAATCTAACAGAGTGTGATAATAACAATTTACTCGTACTTTCCCAAACGACAAATAGCCAGCACAGTTTGTCATCCATACATCCAATCACACGATTTAATGGAAACTTAAAATCAGTAAGTTAAGAGTGTGTAAAGTGAACAGTGTAGTTAATTAAGAGTTAAATATAACGGATACTTGAATTTTAAATAATATTTTTTTAATAATTTTTTTATATATAAATAGGTGCGAATAAAATGCATGAAACAGGTGAGTTGAACTGCAATTTTGTGAATCATCGACTATATCCGTTTGAAAAATTCATATACACACATACCCCCCTCTACCACCAGTGGTCGTAGAGGTCATATATAAATTTGTCATTCAGTGTATAACACCTAGAGTCGATATACATATCTCCGTCTATCAGTCCGTCTAAAATACGCTAACGTTAAAACTAAGTTAACGGAATCAGTTAAATTCATTCAAAATATTCATTATTGTCCAAAGCAGTTTGATAGTGAATTTGTATTTTACACATACATAAGTACTTCACAGCAGGTATGGCAAATTTACATTTTAAAATATTATTAACTTAACAAAATAAATACTTTTTGGTTTCAAAGTACTAAAGTAGACTATAGACTAGACTATAGACTAGACTATAGATTATAGACTAGACTATAGACTATAGACTAGACTATAGACTAGACTATAGACTAGACTATAGACTAGACTATAGACTAGACTATAGACTAGACTATAGACTAGACTATAGACTAGACTATAGACTAGACTATAGACTAGACTATAGACTAGACTATAGACTAGACTATAGGCTAGACTATAGACTAGACTATAGACTAGAATATAGACTAGAATATAGACTAGACTATACTATAGACTAGACTAGACTATAGACTAGACTATAGACTAGACTATAGACTAGACTATAGACTAGACTATAGACTAGACTATAGACTAGACTATAGACTAGACTATAGACTAGACTATAGACTAGACTATAGACTATAGACTAGACTATAGACTAGACTATAGACTAGACTATAGACTAGACTATAGACTAGACTATAGACTAGACTATAGACTAGACTATAGACTAGACTATAGACTAGACTATAGACTAGACTATAGACTAGACTATAGACTAGACTATAGACTAGACTAGACTAGACTATAGACTAGACTATAGACTAGACTATAGACTAGACTATAGACTAGACTATAGACTAGACTATAGACTAGACTATAGACTAGACTATAGACTAGACTATAGACTAGACTATAGACTAGACTATAGACTAGAATAGACTAGACTATAGACTAGACTATAGACTAGACTATAGACTAGACTATAGACTATAGACTAGACTATAGACTAGACTATAGACTAGACTATAGACTAGACTATAGACTAGACTATAGACTAGACTATAGACTATAGACTATACTATAGACTAGACTATAGACTAGACTATAGACTAGACTATAGACTAGACTATAGACTAGACTATAGACTAGACTATAGACTAGACTAGACTAGACTAGACTAGACTATAGACTAGACTATAGACTAGACTATAGACTAGACTATAGACTAGACTATAGACTAGACTATAGACTAGACTATAGACTAGACTATAGACTAGACTATAGACTAGACTATAGACTAGACTATAGACTAGACTATAGACTAGACTATAGACTAGACTATAGACTAGACTATAGACTAGACTATAGACTAGACTATAGACTAGACTATAGACTAGACTATAGACTAGACTATAGACTAGACTATAGACTAGACTATAGACTAGACTATAGACTAGACTATAGACTAGACTATAGACTAGACTATAGACTAGACTATAGACTAGACTATAGACTAGACTATAGACTAGACTATAGACTAGACTATAGACTAGACTATAGACTAGGCTATAGACTAGACTATAGACTAGGCTATAGACTAGACTATAGACTAGACTATAGACTAGATTATAGACTAGACTATAGACTAGACTATAGACTAGACTATAGACTAGACTATAGACTAGACTATAGGCTAGACTATAGACTAGACTATAGGCTAGACTATAGACTAGATTATAGACTAGACTATAGACTAGACTATAGACTAGACTATAGACTAGACTATAGACTAGACTATAGGCTAGACTATAGACTAGACTATAGGCTAGACTATAGACTAGACTATAGACTAGAGTATAGGCTAGACTATAGACTAGACTATAGACTAGAGTATAGGCTAGACTATAGACTAGACTATAGACTAGAGTATAGGCTAGACTATAGGCTAGACTATAGACTAGACTACAGACTAGAATATGGACTAGTCGATGGAATAGTGGTCTATTGACTACTATTTGGATTATTTATCAAAAGTTTATAAATAAAAAAATACCGAAAATGAAATGCCGAGAAGCCAGTTATGCTAGAAGGAAAAATATACCAACTTAAACGAATGCAAAAAAGTTCGTCCTTGGGACAAAAGTAACAAAAGTTATACGAAAAGATATGAACTGGTTCATTTAAGCTTAAACCACTGATTATTTATATTGAACTAATTCATGAATCACCAAAGTTTAATATAGATTTATCTCAAAATTTTATAAAATATTTATTTTTATAAAATAATCTATCACTCAAATCTATTCTTATCGTGCTACGGTAGTCAACATTCTAAATGTTATATTTTTCTTGTATTTTTTCACGATGCTATGTTAACAACAACCGAAATTTTTACTGACAGCTCTGATGCATTTATATCTATTAATTTGACATGTGTAAATGATAAGGTAGTCAGACATGTTTTCAAAAGTTCAGTTTATTTAAAAATGCAAAGACAAAAAAACAGTTGAGGTATGTATATTCGGCTATACCCGCCATCATGTATCGTAATTTAAACAACAATTTCGGAATAAGCTCGATTTTGAGGACTAGAATTTTCGCCTTCAACTTTAAACATCTGAAATTGTCATAACAAGATCTTGTTGCAACATTCAGCGATTAAATGGCAGATACTGGCGTTTCAAACTGTAGAATGATTTTACTTAAGTTTAAGTTATTGTATGTTCTAACATCCGGGTATCTACTCCTAAATGTATTGACATATTTATAATATAGTCCCAAACACGAAATCGTGTTTTATTTATGTGTTTCTAAAATAAATTTTGTGAGTCAAACTTTATAACTATTGGCGTCGTTTGAGGTTGATACTAATTTACAATTTAATTAATGTATTAATATACACAAAAAAGTAAGAAAATATTGTCAAGTCAGATGATACCCTACAGCGATATAAATTAATTTTAGAAAGTAGTTATAAAGAGGGAAATGGGGAAAATTAAGATTATTCTAAGATACCATTTCCCAAGATTTGTTACCTCAAATCAATATTTTGTGAGCTGGATCAAAGGATAAGAAGATCCTTTTTTGAGGTAACATCATAAATCTAATAAATGCGTTAATCTATATATATAAAAATGAATGTGTGTTTGTTTGTATGTTTGAACGTTATAGACTATAAAACTGCTGAACCGATTCTTGAAATTTTCACAGAGTATTCCTGTATGTCTGGAATAGGTAATAGGCTACTTTTTATTTTGAAATTTCAAGTGGGCGAGGTGCCACGCCCATATTAGAAAATATTAAATCCGTATATTAGAGATAATATAACAGTTAGAGTCCTCAAATTTTGTCAGAGGCACTTTAGTGTCAATATGATTATTTAGGACAAAAAGTAGGCGGACTAGCATTAGGGGGCGTGGCACCACCCATATAAATTAAAAACAAAAATTCGTTTATCTTAGAAACAATTACAGTTAGAATCTTAGAATTTTTCACGAATAACTTTAACATCCATATTAACATTTTGGGGAATAAATTGGCGGACTACCCATGAGGGGAGCGACACCTCCCATATTAATTAAATGCAAAAATTCGTTTATCTGGGAAACTAATTGAACTAAATTCTTCAACTTTTGCACTAAGAACTTAAATATTCGTCTAAACATTTTGGATGAAAAAGATCGGACTTCCATCTGGGGGGGCTTGGAGCCCCCATATGAATTAAATAGAAAAATTCGTATATCTGAGAAACTATTAGAGCTAGAATCTTCAAATTTTACTTGAAGAACTTTGACATTCATCTGAACAATTAGAGTATAACGGGCGGACTTTCAATGGTACCTCCCATATTAATTAAATACAAAATTTCGTTTATCTGGGAAACTAATAGAACTAGATTCTTCAAATTTTGCAGAAATTACTTCAATAATCATCTGAATATTTTGGAGGAAAAAGATCGGACTTTCATCTGGGGAGCTTGAAGCCCCCACATGAATGAAATAGAATAATTGTATATCTGGAAACTACTACAGCTAGAATCTTAAAATTTTACATAAAAAACTCTGACATTCATGTGAACATTTAGAGAATAACGGGCGAGCTTTCAATTGGGGGCTTGACACTACATAAATGAATTAAATACAAAATTTCGTATATCTTGGAAACTATTATATTATTAAAATTTTTCATAGATAGATAGAAATTGGCGAACTTTCAGTAATTTGCTTGGCATCTCTAATATGTAACATATTGTAAATCTAGAGAACTATTGCAGTTAGAATCTTCAAAATCGTTAATTGGGTTTTTTATTTATACTGCTTTTAGGGTAGCAAAGCACACTGGGTAAAGCTAGTGATTATTATAAATTCCGAAATAATCGCTTTGTAATGATTTAAATCCATATATAAAGCCACCTTTCGAAGATGGGTATTTAAGATTCGGAGTAAACGAATAAAATACTTGTACTTGTTATTTATATTTTTGATAATAAATTATAAATAGTCTTGTGTAAACTATTTATTTTAAATTCTAACTTACCTACTACTTATCTCACTTGATTTAATTAAATTTTATAATACCTTTATAAAATGTTTGATAAGTGTTTACAATGCTATCTATAGTTGTTATCATATAACAGTCTTATTATCATTTGAATTACTTATACGTTAAACATTCTTACAGTTAAATCGAGATCAACAACACCTCATTGCGAATATGGAAAAACGGCTGTTACGGAAACGCTTCAACTACTACAGAAATGGAATTTATTGGAATTACAAAATAAATTTAAAGGTAATGATCATTTAAGTTAAGAGAAACGAAATTGTGATATTTTCTTAAAAATGCAAAATTCTGCGCCTACAGTCCCATAATTTTGGATGTATATCGAATGAATATACATCTATCTGATTTCAACAAAAAACAAGTAAGAAAGTATAGTCGGGCGTGGCCGACCATATGATACCCTACACCAGTTATGAATATTAAATGTGATTTATTTTTCATAATAAAGCATTTATCTTCAATATTCCCTTGTTCCGATATATTTAAGCAATTTATGGATGAAAAATTAATTTTCTGAAATAGGCTTTATATGGGGACTAGGGGTAAATATGGACTAAGCCCGATAAAATTTTGTGAATATATTTATATTTACATAATATTTTATTTTGCTGAATTTCATCGGGATATTTGCGTTTATAAGTTAATTTTGGACATTCAAGTGTTTTCTGAAGGGGACTTTATATAGGACCTAGGGTCAAATGGGGCCCGATCTTTATGAAATTTGTCAGGGTCATCAGGACTTCTATAAAACTTAGTTGTGCCGCATTTTATCGATATACCTATATATTTAACATAATTATGAGCTCAGAAGCCCTTTTCGGGGGGTTCTGTTCTATGGGGGCTAGGTGAAATAATGGACCAATTTTAACCATTTTCAATAGGCTTCGTCCTTGGGTCAAAAAAAGCGTGCATGCCAAATTTCATCCAATTATCTTGAAAATTGCGACCTGTACCTTGCGCACAAGGTTTACATGGACAGCCAGCCAGACGGACGGACGGACGGACGGACACAGCTTAATCGACTCAGAAACCGATTCTAAGCCGATTGGTATACTTTAAGGTGGGTATAGGACGAATAATTTTGTATGTTACAAACATCAGCACAAACCCAATATACCCTCCCCACTAAAGTGGTGTAGGGTATAAATAGACACACATACGAGCATTGCTAAATCAGTTTCGATAACTATATTGATTCTCTCATTGCTTTCCTTCAGAACACGAAGTCACATTACGTTCCCTAATCTATCTCACCGATGAAGAAATTTCTGAACTCATACCAAAAATTGGCATACGAACCATATTTCGGGCCATGTTAAAAGAATGGAGACAAACGTACGATGCTATAGCATATCCCAGAGCATCCACAGCATCAATAGGGGATGTGGATAGTGATTCATATTTAGATCAAATAGAGTTAAAAACAGAATGTAATTCCGAAGATTTTGATATGCAAAATTTTTCAACAGGTAAATATTAAACTCATTAATCTTTTAAGGGGAAAATACATGATAAAAAATTTCATTACAGAAGAAAATGATTTTCAACTAGAGACCATGAAAGAATCACAGGAAAATGAACAAAAATTAGATAACAACAACAATGAAACGCTAGTTCCACCAGATCCTGTAACGGCCAGAAAACTAAGAAATCAATTCAGCTATAAAGGAGAGCCATTTGTATGATATTTTTATACAAAAATTTCAAAACTATGAGAATACTCAGGTCATGTTTAATTTCAGAATGTTTTCGATATACTTAACAGCTGTTCAGATGGTCAAACTGTTATGGAATTTTATAAAATTCATAATTTTTTAGATATTAAAAATCGTAAACGTGTTGTCAATCTATTAATACGTAATGTGGTGGAGCGTAAAGTTGAAAAATATACAGCAATATTTCACGATATGACGCGACAACTGTTAGAATTATTTCCATCCGAAAAATATGTAAGTATTTTGAGTTTTTGGGTATGATCTATAAATGTTATTTTAACTCAAGTGTATTTTTATTTTTCTTAGGAAACCTATTTTGTGCCGCATAATGGACCCAACTCAGCACGTGGTGCTTTATACTATAGATACTCAAATTACACCCGACAATTGCGTAAAGAAGGCTTATTGGCCTATAAAAAGCATAAACCAAAAGTTTATACAAAATAAACATATTAAAGAAATAATTAATTGTTGGTTTATTTTTAGTTAATTCCTAGATCAAAGTAACTATTCTAGAAAATACTTTCTTTTCAATTCGATTAATCACATCCGATATCTTACACTCCAACAGTGATAAAATATTCAAGAACTCATATTCAAATGCCAATATTAAAAGGTTATCTTTTCAATAAAGTGAATTTTCAATATCAATTATTCTCGTAGGGTTGGAACCGAACGGAAAGTCCAAGAAAGACTGGTCATTGTCCATAAAATAGTCCCTAGATTAGTCCATAGAATAGACCTTAGACTAGTTCATATTCCATAAAATTGTCTATAGAATAGACCATACACTAGTCTATAGAATTATCCATAGACTAGTCTATAGAATAGTCCTTAGAATAGTCTATAGAATAGTCCTTAGAATAGTCTATAGACTAGTCTATAGAATAGTTCATAGACTAGTCTATAGAATAGTTCATAGACTAGTCTATAGAATAGTTCATAGACTAGTCTATAGAATAGTTCATAGACTAGTTTTAGAATAGTCCATAGACTAGTCTATAGAATAGTCCATTGACTAGTCTATAAAATAGTCCATAGACTAGTCTATAGAATAGTCCATAGACTAGTCTATAGAATAGTCCATAGACTAGTCTATAGAATAGTCCATAGACTAGTCTATAGAATAGTCCATAGACTAGTCTATAGAATAGTCCATAGACTAGTCTATAGAATAGTAATTAGACTAGTCTATAGAATAGTCCATAAACTAGTCCATAGACTAGTCCATAGAATAGTCCATAGACTAGTCCATAGAATAGTCCATAGAATAGTCCATAGAATAGTCCATAGACTAGTCTATAGAATAGTCCATAGACTAGTCCATAGAATAGTCCATAGAATAGTCCATAGACTAGTCTATAGAATAGTCCATAAACTAGTCCATAGACTAGTCCATAGAATAGTCCATAGAATAGTCCATAGAATAGTCCATAGACTAGTCTATAGAATAGTCCATAGACTAGTCTATAGAATAGTCCATTGACTACTTTATAGAATAGTCCATAGACTAGTCTATAAAGTAGTCCATAGACTAGTCTATAGAAAAGTCCATAGACTAGTATATAGAATAGTCTATAGACTAGTCTATAGAATTGTCTATAGAATAGCCCATAGACTGGTCTATAGAATAGTCCATTGACTAGTCTATAGAATAGTCCAGAGACTAGTCTATAGAATAGAATAGTCCATAAACTAGTCTGTAGAATAGTGCATAGACTAGTCTATAGAATAGTGCATAGACTAGTCAAAACTTGTTGCACTTTCGCAAGTTTAGTTCTAAGAGATAATCACATCCTGTCATTTAATATAAAACTTTTCTTATTTATAAACAACAACAACAACGACCGACATCAACAAAACAGTTCGTTATTCCACCTGTTAATTTGTTTACATACGACTATAATAATAAATAGCATTAAGTACAATTAAACGAATTGAATAAAAAATGTTGAAAAAAGTACAAGATTGTTTAAACTGTTGCGCTAAATTGTTGACAAACTATCAACAAGATAATCTGAATAGCACAACATTCGCACCTGTTTTACAATAATCGTTGTCATGGTGATTTTTTTTTTTCTATCGAAAAAGACGTTGTGGCGCGGCTCGGTGCTCTGTCCTTATCAAAGGCCATTGGCATTAAACAAACACAACAGAATTTTAAAAAGTTCATTGACGTGTTTGGCAAAATGTAATTATAGGTGAATGAAAAAATGGATGAATGAACAAAATGCAACAGTTGATTAGTAAACAAAGTTTATAGATACTGCTGACATATTAAAATATACTGTATTTGTTTATGCCAGCTAGTTAAAGTAAAACTATTACAGAATTTTGTGAGTGGAAAAAAGTTCAAGGACATTAGAAGATTTCCTTGTTGCAATGTTACTGTTAAGGCAACAACAGGTGTTTGTTAATAACCCACCCAAAAAAGATTACAAATAAAAATTAGTTTTTAAAAAATTATTATGGTTTTAGTTTCCAAGAAACTGTTTCAATCGAGGAATGGATATTAGACCCTGAAAAATGTTTGGATAAAATCTAAACTCATGCATTATGATTGATAAATTTATACGAGTTTTAACAAAAGTACAATCGATTGTTAGTTTTTTAGATTTTGAGACCAAATGGTAGATTTTAGTGACAATATAAGTGCGCATAAAATAAGTTACATACCTGGACATATAGGAAGAAGTTGCTCTAGAAGATCAAATTAGGCCAATTTGGAAACTCCGAGGAGCTGTCATTTTACGCCAAAGCATACAACCCATCATTTCACGCTAAACCATAGAGGAGAGGACCAGTACAGTAAGATAGAACATCCGGTTAACAATAAGTTATTAGAGAATCAGTCATAATTCATTTATAATTTCTTATTTATTTCGTAACGTTTGTCTATACTTACCATATTTTATAATAAATTTATTAAAACTTAAAAACAAGTTCCTAATATGTTTTCATATATCGTTTTTCTGGTTTTCTAATGCTATGTTTATATTCAAAAGTCATTCTTCCTTAACTCATAGTTGCATTTTACTAGCACACTGAAAAATACGGTATTGTGTTTTAAACTCTAGTATAATTTAATTTTATTTTGGTATAAACATTATTATTTTCCTTTATTTACCTATAAAGCATATCAAAATAAATTTCTTTAACAGATTTTAAAGGTCTTATTCAAATAAAACAAATAAAAACGGAAAATAAATCATTCACTCTGGCAATACCGTGCCTGCAAATAAGACAACTCTGTCATTGAATGAAAACAAATATAAACAATCGATTTTTTAAATGACAGCTGTCTCAACTGTCATCTCTAATAAAGTGAAAATTTGTGAAAATTTTGTATATTTTTTTTCATTTCCTAACAAAAAATCTAATTTCACTACTAATTCAATGCTTGAAAAAATCACAAAATGTCCGATGATGAAAGTATGTCTTTAGGACAATATAAAATTAAGGCTTCCACTGTGTGGACCCAACGAAAACGTACACAACAGGGTCGAGAAGTAAACAATAGCGAATACGATGAAATGTTTGGAGAGCATATGGAAAACTATAGTGTGGAAACGACGGCACTGCATCGTAAGCTACAAAGTAAAATGGAGGCTTTACGTATACTACGCAAGGAATTGGAAAAGTTTCGCACAGAACGAGATCAATTCAAATTGATGGCCGAAACTTTGCAATTGCGTTATGCAGCCTTGAGACGCAATAGTCTATCGGATATGGGTGGTTTTACCAGCGATACCAGTGGAGTGCCCGGCAGTAGTAGTAAAACTAGTGTGGCAAAGATTTTACACGAAAGTAGAGAACGAAATATTAAACTTACCACAGAAGTTGAGGCTTTAAAACAAAAACTATCCGAGGTTCAGGGTGACATTGAGGTATTAAGAGGATGTCAAAAACCTTTACCCGAAGAAGCGAAAAAATCTCAAAAAACAAAAGTTTCTATTAAAGAGGACTCTTCTGTGGATGTTTGTACTAAGGATATGTTTTTACAGTGGAAACAAGAACGCTCAAATTTTATTTGTCACTTGGAACAATTAAAGAAAAAGGTAAGTGTGTGTTTTCAAGAACGTTAAGATTGCATGTTTAAGTTTTTTTTTTCTGATTGATTTAATATTGATTTTATTTTTGTAGAATGCTCAATTAGCTTTTGACTTAAAAGCGGTTATCGATGAAAAAGAAGAATTAACAAATGAACGCGATGCCTACAAATGTAAGGCACATCGTTTGAATCATGAATTGCTGGTGGCTTTAAAAGCTAAGGAAACTCATCCCAAGGTAATGAAATTATATGTAAAAACCTATAGTTTTGAATTACAACACTTTTAGCTATAACTCTTTTATTCAAATTGCTAAAAATGGGCTTTCTTTTGATACAGTTCCTTGATATTGACAGTATCATTTTGGAGAATAAGTACCTGAATGAACGTTTAAAGAATATCGAAAATGAAGTGGAAATAACTAAACATTCATTAAGCAAATACAAGGTAAGATTAAATGTAACTCTATTAATAAAATTTTCCTCTAAAGTTTTAGTTAAGACTAATAAATTGTTATAAAATTATTTTTACTAACTAAATATACATGTTCCCTTTTCACTTAAAATGCTTACTTAACTAAAGACAATGTTGGAAACAAAACGTAAAAAAGGTATTATGAAATTAGGTGCTCAAACACTCAATTTCGATGAAAATATATTATCACATAAACAAGGTAAAGAATTATTAAACAAATTAATATTGATGTTGTGTTCTTTTTTTGAGTTTTTATACTTTTTGTTTGATATTTAAACTTAAAAATTTGGTTCGTTAAGTCTTTAAAGCGCAGATTTTTGTTTCAGGATCATATGATATGTAAAAACAAAACTAAAATCCATTTACAGCCTAACTTTTATTATAATATATAAATTTTCTTATGCTTTAATAAGATTTCAACAATTTTATGTTACATTTCTTGAAACTGTTAGTTTTTTTAAAGAACGAATTTGTTATTTGTCCCATTTCTTTCAGTTAAAAACCTCTTGGAAAGTGGCATTGATTTACCCACAAAAACTGAAACTATACAGGATTTGAAAACATTATGTTTAACTCTATTGGATAATCTAAATGATAAAAATTTAGCTCTTAACCATCAAAAGAAAACCAATAAGTAAGTTAACGCTTAAACTGCAGTAAAAAGATTTAATAACAATTTTTTCATTCTTCCCAGAATATTGGCTACAAAAATAGCTGAATTAGAACAGAGAATGAAATCTTTGGCCGGTATTGAAACAAGTAATGATGATCAAGGTTTCTCAGCCTCCGAATTTCTTCTTAGAGGCTATTGTCCCTCACTGGTCGATACTAATTCAAATTCTGGCCCGGAGGAGCAAGAGAAAGCAACAAAAACCAGAATAACTTCAGCCACTACCAACACCACTTTTAAAAGTACAACATCATGTGGTGAGAGTCAAGTAACCGAAGATTCTGGTACAATGTCATCGGAAAATGAAGAATCCATAAAAATAACCAATGCAGGCAATTCCGATGATGCAATGTCTTCTTTGTCCACAGAATCAGGACGTAGTATACAATCATCTGAATATGATTTAACTAATCAAGATATGATGACTCCATTAAATTTAAATGATTTCACTGATGCCGCTCTTTTTACGTATAAAACACCCTCCACTACCTCTGGTTCGGCAGGTGGTAAAACTCAGCGACAAGATTCTTCAAGATCCCTAATACTACCCAATGCCATAGTGCGTGAAAGAAATGATGATTTAAAAGATTTACCACCTGAATTGGCTGCCTTGGTGCAAAAAGCTTTACACGAATTGGATTTAAGGGATTTTGATGAAGTTGTTGGTGGCATTTGTGAAGATGTGGCCGTAGAGGCCAAGGAAGAGGAGGAGGCTGTTCACTCCAATATAGAGCAAACAAATAATGATATTTTAGAAGAAGAATTGAATAGTGAAGATGGTGCCATTGGTGGTGTCTGTTCGAATTTAATTGAGGCTAATTAAATGATTAATTTTCAATTTTTTAAATTCCTTTTACTAATCTCCCACATTCTCCAAAATATATATTTTTATTTTCTATTACCCTAATCCATATCAGCTATAAACTAACTCTTCATTTAAACACAAACCAAGTTGGTCAAACGTAAACAAAAATACTTATAGCTAAATTCGGTAATATTTGACAAAGTAACCCTCCCTCTCTATACATACTTAACAAACAATTATATATTTTCTAGTCACTGTTTTAAGAAAGAAAAACTACAAAAAAAAAAAAAAAACAAATTAATAAATAAAATCTAAACAATATTTAACTGCCGCCCTCATATTTATACTCTATACAAATAAATTAAACAAAATACATGAAATCGTACCTTTTTAACTTAACAAAAAATAAACCAAAGAAATCACAAACTTCAAATATTAAATCGCAAAAATACTAAAAAAAACTCTTACACACTACCTACACATTGTTATTTATAAATACAAATACACTTAACAATTTGTTATATCATGGATCCGTACAGTTATAATGAAAAAATGCTTAAAAACACTTAAATATTATAATAGTAAAATTAAAAGAATAAAACTAAACAATGGCTTAAAATATTCGTATTTATATTGATATATATTGTTAAATTGAATAAATAATAAAAGAAAGACTAAAATAAAGCTATATAAACGTTAAATTCAAAATTTGTTTAAATTATTTTTCCAAATATATCCCTACATGTCCCTGCTTGGATCCCCAAAAAACGAATATATCGTAAGGTAACAGTATCAAATCGCTATGTTTAATATAACTAATTATGGGCGGGAACATAAAGTAGGCATGTCATCTCTCCACATATACTCCCCTATTCTGCATTTTAATGCGAATCGAAATAATCTCCATTTGGCATTATGATATTCTGTGCATTTCGATTCAATATTTCTTCGATCGTAATGCATAATATACAACATAGCAAAGCATTGGAACGTAATGGAAATGCTTCTTCTTTATCTTACGATTCCATTTTTGCTTGAAATACTTTTTTTCGACCGTAGCGTAACTGAATGCGGAAACATAATGGAAATACCACTGAAAAAATTATTGGAGTACATGTTCCATCTAGGTAATCCTAAAACTACTCCTAGTAACCATTACTGGAGTAGATGATATGTTTAATAGTCCCATGCAATGCAGACATGGATCATGTTTATTTTGCATTACATAGGACCATGTTGCGGATCATATACTCCCAGAATTTGAGCAAGGAAGTAGTTTTGAGATTATTCGTATGTAATACATGGCTGGTCCTCACCTAGGACATCACAATGTCTATTTTTTTTATATATTTGAATTAGAATTAGTTTTTGACCAGTCTTTGAGGAGTATTCTTTACACGCGTGTCTCAATTTTGTAGGGACAGAGTAGGGGGACTAAAGAGAAAAAATAATTATTCTTTTAAATATTTCAAAAGTTTATTAACTTTAATAACACCGGATTTCGACCACCCCGCAACCCTTGAAAATTATAGCGACATTTTTCAAAACTTTTCAATAAGTTTACACACCAAACTATTTTCAAATATGTTCCAAAACATCTCGAAATATTTTGAGAGCGATATTATTCCAGATATAACATTCATCAGGAACACTGAGGGAAAAATTCTACAAAATTTTGTTCACGAATTCGATGAGAGGGAAGGATGAAAATGACTAATTTACTGGTATCTCCCTTACAAACTGTAAGTCACTGGTTCCGACTGAACTGTATGAAATGGCTAAAATCAAATGATTTAGCAAAATCACCTGTCTCACTTCGAGGTTGGGCCTCTATACGATGCTTCCATGTCAAGCTTACTATTAAGCTGGCTAATGAATGCTATTATTAGTCATAATGAGACACTGTGCAATTGGCTATCACGCCAGAAGATTGAGTCTCGAATACAACGACAAATGTAGGATATGTCATAATGAGGAGGAAGAGGAAACAATACCTCACCTCCTATGCTATTGCCTCCTATTGTAGTGAGTAGTGGGTACCTTAATGGACTCTTATGACCACTAGGGCATCACAACGGGATTGGAATTGAGTGGACCCATAAGAGCTACTCATGATTGATTGAGTGGCTATCCTTATTACCTAAACCTAGTCCACGAAACTAAGATCCTGAACATTGGACAATACTTACTTTCATATATCGCTATATAAAGTTATTCCATCAACATTTTCCATGAAAAGTAGTTCACAATAGGACCGATAGCGATCTAAGTATATTTTTTCGAATCGGATAAAATATACACCCTACTTTGAATCTTACCTGTTCTAGAAATCATAAAAATTCTAACTCATTTGGCCCAAACAAATCTATATTTCTGCTTTTATACTTACTATAGGGTTTTTCATTAAGAACAATGCATTTTTTTTTTATTTAAAAGATTTGTAGGTTAGTAAGGGAATTGCATATCAAATAAGAAAACAATCGATGTCAATATTATATCTAGAATACGGATTGTTTATCGTAGAAGCGTTACCACAATTTTCAAGAATCGAATACACAAATCGTCTGAAATGCCAGAAACTTCGCATTCGTTATTGACCTAAAGCTGTTCAAACGTAGTTATTATGTTGGCCTCTACAGTGATTTTACATAATGAGAACTTTACAAACGTTATCACATGTACAGTGTCTCTCATAAGTATTCGAATTTAGGTGAACTATGAAAAGAAACCAAATTTAATAATATATTTTGTGTGCAAAAAAAATAAATTAATTTGTTATATTGTCAAGACATTCCTTAGGTTTGATATCACGCTTTTTAAAACTTGAAAAAATTACATTTACATAAATTTAATTAGCTTTTTTTAAAAAAGTCCATAAAATTGCCTCACAAAAGTATACGAATTTTTCCTGTATTTCATATTTGATCATATTATACGAAACACAAATTTTAGAATCGAATGGTTTTTATGCTTTAAATTGTTTTAAAGGGTTACTATCAACCGAAATGATATATTTTTGGCCCATTTGGTCCAAAATCTTTGGGGATTTGTACCCTCTTTTTATGTAATATCATTAAAATGGCGATTTTTTTGCAATATTTGTAGTATTTTCTCTTTTTTCCAGAGATAAAACCAAAATTTGATATTGGGATTTAATAGAACCCTTGGAGTATCTAAAAATACTATTTTTTGTTACAATAATCTGTATTTGAACGATCCAAGATATATTATTGATATCATTATTCTGTCGCTAATTCAATATACTGGAACTTAAGTCCATTTTCATAATACTAGGGTCAAAAATTTTCGGGAAAGTTTTCTTGTATATATTCTTTTAGATATCAGCTTTTATATATTTTAAGTTTTCAATGTATTGTGGAAGTGTACAACTCCAAAACATGCCTCGAAGAAACACCATTCAATATGGTAGTATCATTATTTTTATGCACCAATGACCTCCAGGCTGCATGCCACTATATAATTATGGTCTAACTCAAAAATATCGATACCTGTTTAAATATTGATTACTATGATTAAAATAAACCCAAAATTTTGGACTTACAGTGTTATTGTAATGGGCAACATAAGCGTGAAAGTTACGAATAGTAAAAACTGAAATCTACTGTATAGGATGACGTTTTGTAAAGGCATGTTTTGGAATTGTATACCGATATAATGTATTGAAAATTTTAAATATATTAGTGCTAATATGTACATGAATGTATACTAGCCAACTTGTCGGAAAATATCGACCCTAGTGGCACGAAAAGGGACTTAAGATCCATACAATTCAATTAGAAACAGAAGAACGATACCAAAAATATATCTTGGAACTTTTAAGTACAGATCCTTATAACAAAAATTATTATTTTTAGATACCTCAAGGGGTCTATTAAATTCCAATACTAAAGTTTGGTTTTATTTCTGCAAAAAAAGGAAAAAAAATTGCAAATATGGTCAAAAATCGCCATTTTAATGATATTACATGAAAAGATGGTACAAATGCTCCAAAATTGTGGAACAAATGGACCCAAAATATATAATTTCGGTTGATAGTAACCCTTTAATACAATTTTAAGCAAGAAACCACTCGATTATAATTTTTGTGTTTCGTATAATATGGTCATATATGAAATACAGGAAAAATTCGAATACTTTTGTGAGGCAATTTTATGGACTTTTTTTAAAAAAGTTAAATCAATTGAGGTAAATGTAATTTTTCCAAATTTTAAAGAGTGTGATATTATACCTTAGGACTCCCTAGACAATATAACAAATTTAATTATTCATTTCACACACAAAAAATATTATTAAATTATGTTTCTTTTCAAAGTACAACCAAATTCGAATACTTATGTGAGACACTGTAGGTAAGAAATGTCAAAAAGAAAATGCATCGTTATTAATGAAACCCCCTTTATTACTACAAAAAAACTTCCACATACGTATTCATTTTAAAATATAGTCTCATGTTATATTATGATATAGTCTTATTTTTTAGTTTTTATGTGCAAAAAGTACGTATTAAGAAATCTTAAATATAACATTTAATAAATATGTGTGTATGTTAATTTATGAATATTACAGTTTCATTGGCATATGGGCATTTCCACCGAAAAGTATATTTTTTGTCACATCACGTCACGCACATTAATTGACAATATCTTAGGACCATTCTTTTTTATTGGTCGCACCTTTATCCTATGCATAGATCTATACTTAAAAATATAAACAAATTAAAAATATGTATATTGTTTCCCTAGATATAAGCTGTTACTTTTCGGTGGAAATGCCCATATTACAATTGCAACTGAAAATAACAATCAATTGTAATAATAACACAGGCCAACATATACTTAATACAGAGTCAAAAGTAAACTTTTCTAAAGGAATGACTCAAAAACCTGATGTGATGGAAAACAAGTAAGAGTGTTATATTCGGCTATGCCGAATCTTATATACCCGCCATCAAACCTCGTTTGACTCGAATGAAACTTACTTATGTCGAATTTCATCTATATACTCGTATTTTTAGGCCAGTTATAAGCGTTAAAGTAATTTTCTGAAGGGGACCTTATATTATGGGTCGATTATAATTATGGGTCGATCCTCATAAAAGTTTTTAGATAGATTTTGACTCGTATGAAACTTACTTATGTCGAATTTCATCTATATACTAGTATTTTTAAGCCAGTAATGAGCGATAAAGTCATTTTTTGAAGGGGACCTTAAATGGGGGGTAGGGTCAATTATGGACCGATCCTCATAAAATTTTGCATAGTGATTTTGGATGATTAGAAACTTACTTATGTCGAATTTCATCGCTATATTCGTATTTTTAAGCAAGTTATGGCTGTTAAAGCTGATTTTCGAGGTGCCACTTGTATGGGGGCTATCCGAAAACGTGGACCGATATTGCCCATTTTCAATACCAAACAAACCTTACCTATAAGAAATATTTGTGTGAAATTTCAATCCTCTAGCTCTTTCCATTCGGACTCTATCGTGCTTTCAACAGACAGACAGACAGACGGACGGACAGACGGACAGACATGGCTAGATCGTCTTAGAATTTAATGAGGACCAAGAATATATATACTTTTGTGGGTCTATGACCAATATTTCGATGTGTTACAAACGGAATGACAAAATCAATATACCCCCCATCTTTTTTGATGGTGAGTATAAAAATATTAAGTCATATTCGGATTTAGCACTGTTTATTCCTTATAGAAATGTATATTTTGGTCTCTGCGTTTCAAGTTTTTAAAATTTTGTTAGCCTGTGTAAACAAAGTCAGTTTGTAAGTTTTGTAAAAAGCGTTCCAGCACTCAAAAAAATTTGCAACCATTTAACATTTTTCGTAATAAAACTGTAAATTTCATAAATAATATTCGGATTCGAGTGTGTCTGTGTATTTTACAATATAACACTTAAACATAAATAGATGTACATAAAAGTTCTATGTCATCCCAACATAAATATCGCACTTAATCTGTAATTAAACAAAAATGAAACAAAAGAAATTAAATAGAAACAATTTTTGTTTAGTACAATTTTGATGAACGAAATGAACCAAACTATGACTGACAACAATGATTAGCGTAAAGAGAAAGAAATGTTAAAGAAAATTTTGCATTTTATAACTTGTGCCATTTCAGTTGAAGTAAAACAGTTTTTGTTTTTATTTTTTGTAATTATCACATAATTTTATTAAATTTTGTTTATGACTAAAGCATTAGTTAATTAAATGTATATAAAATGTTTTAATTAGTGTTTTTTAGCTGTAATGTTGTGTTAATTTGTTTTAAGGAACAGTTAGTATTAATTTAAAATATTGTTTTCATAAGTGTATAGTATGTAGTTTATATATTTTCGTTATTTTATTTATAAATAAACATATAAATTTTGTCTACCAATTAATTAGCATTTAAATATTCAATTAATTTTTTAAATTTTTCTAAATAGTAAAACAAAAACTATCTACAGATTAAACGAATGATTGCTAGAGAACACAGCCAAAGTTTATTTTCTATAACAATTCATCGAAAACATTAATAAAATACTATAGTTTACAGAAAATACTCACTGACTTTAGAGAAAACAGTTACAATTTAAACCTTTATTATTAAATATTTTAATATACTTTATAGTTTTATTATAGTGAGTATCGATCTTAAAATATATTGCAAACATACTTAAAATAACTATGTATGTATAATTGTTTAAGGTTTAGCATTTAAATGATTATTTTAATTTTTTTTACAAATTTTCAGTAAACTAACTTTTATTTATTAGATGCGTTTTGAAATTAATCAATAGATTATTGCTAATTATTAGAAATTGAATACTTTAACGCTTTCTATACATGTTTATTAATTCGTTATAGTTTTTATTTAACGTATGCAAAGTCATAGAAAAACAGTAGATCTTATTATGTATTTGTTTATAGTTTTAATTAGCAAATATTTATTTTAACCCTAAAGGATTTTTCTTGTTTGTGTATATAATATATTTATTGATTTACAGAATTACCACAATCGCTTTCGTATGAAAACCAAATTTAGTTAGAGAAACCAAATTTATAAATTTCTTAAAAAAAAAGAACATCTACAACAATTCTACACTATCGCGAATATGATAAATCGTTTGAAATGTTATTACTATTGCAGATTATTAAAACAAATCTTTTAAAATGAAAATTTTTTAATAATTTTTACATAAATTCCGTAATTTTTTTTTCTCACTGTAATCTTATAAGAATATATCACGCTAAATAAAATGTTTTAAAACACGTAAAATAGAGTATCAGAGTTCGATTCCCACCAGATATTTACTCTCTTACTACAATGTGTCTCTCTATAACACTTATGCCAGGCATGGAAAATTTAGTACCTTATTACTTTTCAGTACTAGTCTATAGTCTAGTCTATAGTCTAGTCTATAGTCTAGTCTATAGTCTAGTCTATAGTCTAGTCTATAGTCTAGTCTATAGTCTAGTCTATAGTCTATCTATAGTCTAGTCTATAGTCTAGTCTATAGTCTAGTCTATAGTCTAGTCTATACTCTAGTCTAGTCTAGTCTATAGTCTAGTCTATAGTCTAGTCTATAGTCTAGTCTATAGTCTAGTCTATAGTCTAGTCTATAGTCTAGTCTATAGTCTCGTCTAGTCTATAGTCTAGTCTATAGTCTAGTCTATAGTCTAGTCTATAGTCTAGTCTATAGTCTAGTCTCGTCTATAGTCTAGTCTATAGTCTAGTCTATAGTCTAGTCTATAGTCTAGTCTATAGTCTAGTCTATAGTCTAGTCTATAGTCTAGTCTATAGTCTAGTCTATAGTCTAGTCTATAGTCTAGTCTATAGTCTAGTCTATCTAGTCCATAGTCTAGTCTATAGTCTAGTCTATAGTCTAGTCTATAGTCTAGTCTATAGTCTAGTCTATAGTCTAGTCTATAGTCTAGTCTATAGTCTAGTCAATAGTCTAGTCAATAGTCTAGTCTATAGTCTAGTCTATAGTCTAGTCTATAGTCTAGTCTATAGTCTAGTCTATAGTCTAGTCTATAGTCTAGTCTATAGTCTAGTCTATAGTCTATAGTCTAGTCTATAGTCTATAGTCTAGTCTATAGTCTATAGTCTAGTCTATAGTCTATAGTCTAGTCTATAGTCTATAGTCTAGTCTATAGTCTATAGTCTAGTCTATAGTCTATAGTCTAGTCTATAGTCTAGTCTATAGTCTAGTCTATAGTCTAGTCTATAGTCTAGTCTATAGTCTATAGTCTAGTCTAGTCTAGTCTATAGTCTAGTCTATAGTCTAGTCTATAGTCTAGTCTATAGTCTAGTCTATAGTCTAGTTCTAGTTAGTCCATAGGTCTAGTCTATAGTCTAGTCTATAGTCTAGTCTATAGTCTAGTCTATAGTCTAGTCTATAGTTCTAGTCTATAGTCTAGTATAGTCTAGTCTATAGTCTAGTCTAATAGTCTATAGTCTAGTCTAGTCTATAGTCTAGTCTAAGTCTAGTCTAAGTCTAGTCTATAGTCTAGTCTATAGTCTAGTCTATAGTCTAGTCTATAGTCTAGTCTATAGTTAGTCTATAGTCTAGTCTAGAGTCTAGTCTATAGTCTAGTCTATAGTCTATAGTCTAGTCTATAGTCTAGTTATGTCTAGTCTATAGTCTAGTCTATAGTCTAGTCTATAGTCTCCTTAAGTCTAGTCTATTTTAGTCTAGTCTATAGTCTAGTCTATAGTCTAGTCTATAGTCTAGTCTATAGTCTAGTCTATAGTCATAGTCTAAGTCTAGTCTATAGTCTAGTCTATAGTCTAGTCTATAGTCTAGTCTAGTCTATAGTCTAGTCTATAGTCTAGTCTATAGTCTAGTCTATAGTCTAGTCTATAGTCTAGTCTATAGTCTAGTCTATAGTCTAGTCTATAGTCTAGTCTATAGTCTAGTCTATAGTCTAGTCTATAGTCTAGTCTATAGTCTAGTCTATAGTCTAGTCTATAGTCTAGGTCTATAGTAGTCTATAGTCTAGTCTATAGTCTAGTCTCTAGGTCTAGTCTCTAGTCTATAGTCTAGTCTATAGTCTAGTCTATAGTCTAGTCTTATAGTCTAGTCTATAGTCTAGTCTATAGTCTAGTCTATAGTCTAGTCTATAGTCTAGTCTATAGTCTAGTCTATAGTCTAGTCTATAGTCTAGTCTATAGTCTAGTCTATAGTCTAGTCTATAGTCTAGTCTATAGTCTAGTCTATAGTCTAGTCTATAGTCTAGTCTATAGTCTAGTCTATAGTCTAGTCTATTAGTCTAGTCTATAGTCTAGTCTATAGTCTAGTCTATAGTCTAGTCTATAGTCTAGTCTATAGTCTAGTCTATATTCTAGTCTATAGTCTAGTCTATACTCTAGTCTATAGTCTAGTCTATAGTCTAGTCTATAGTCTAGTCTATAGTCTAGTCTATAGTCTAGTCTATAGTCTAGTCTAGTCTATAGTCTAGTCTATAGTCTAGTCTATAGTCTAGTCTATAGTCTAGTCTATAGTCTAGTCTATAGTCTAGTCTATAGTCTAGTCTATAGTCTAGTCTATAGTCTAGTCTATAGTCTAGTCTATAGTCTAGTCTATAGTCTAGTCTATAGTCTAGTCTATAGTCTAGTCTATAGTCTAGTCTATAGTCTAGTCTATAGTCTAGTCTATAGTCTGGTCTGTAGTCTAGTATATAGTCAGGTCTATACTCTAATCTAGCGGAAATTTAGTTTAGTACTTTATATTCAAAAATAGTACTGTTAGTTATAAGTTAGTACTATTTACAATTTTTAATTTTCTATGTCTGTTTTGTGTTGAAAATATTAAAGCAAATTAAAACAGCTTTTGGAAGCTTTTTTAAATTAATACAAAAATTAGTGAATCTAATATAAATCATGCAAAAAAATTAAATTTTTTAAATCTCACAAAAATTTTCAAATTTTAGAAATTTAAAAAATTAAAAAAATTGTTTGGATAGCTTTTTACATTAAACTTTAATATATTTGCATTAAAAACCATTTCGAAGACACTCTCTAATATTGTATTGAAATTATAATTTATTTAATTAATCTTAAATGTTTCACTAAAAATAAATTAAGACATGGTACATCAAACATAAAGTTATTTATAAATTAAAATGTTAAATGATTTATAGAGTTTATTACTAAATTACAAATTTAAAATGTTTAATGATAAATAAGTTATTGATTTGTTATGTATTTAAATTTTATATTAAGAAAAGAAAATGTAGCTTTTTGAAATGAACTTAAACTTTTGTATTTCTAGTATGAAAATTGGCAAAAACTCTTAAGAACGACACAATAAAACCATTATCATTTAAATGATTAATCACACTACGCCACATAATTAAAGCCATAGAAAAGAATGATGAAAATGTTGTGGGTAAAATAGAAGATTTTAAATGTTTAATAGGAACCATAGGTGAAGATGGGTGAGTTGTTAATGTCGTTGTTGGTAGTGTAGTATGATTTGGCAGAATTTTAATGGTTTTAAAGCGTCGTTTTAGTAAATATCAGTTGATGAATGACATGTAGTTAGTAAAAATTACATAATTCTCTACTAACCGCGCACAAAGCTCTTGACGCACGGTGGCGGTAAATTTATTGGCCACTACTAAAGCAGTGGTAGAGCCGAATACCAGATTGTAAAGTAGAACGATTTGGAAATTGCCCAACCATTCGATGGCACCAAAATCACCCAGTAAATCGAAATTGGTAATGCCTTAAAAAGATAAAATTGTTTTAATTTCTTATAAAACTTTAACTAAATATCAACTCACCTATAATACGGCTTAGTAATGGCAGGGCAGAACTTAAAATCAACACTAAAGCACAATTAAGTATCAATTGTGATAGTGAAGTTTTGCGCCTTTGTGGTCTTACATTACGCATAAAGGGCATGGTGTAGAAACCCACTGCTGAAGTGGCTCCCAAATAAAATATCAGACACACCTCTAGGCCGGCACCAAAGGGACCTAACTTCGATAAGGAAGTTATGCCCAAAGTAAATTGCTGCACAAAATTTTAAATTAATAAATTAAAAACTTTATTTTTAGATTAAAATTTGTTCAATTAAACTTACCCGTGTACTTAAAGGTAGAGCCTTGATGCCAATCAATAACTCCAGTGTATTCTGCACCACCAACAATATGGTAATGCCCGTAAAGAACAGTAACAGCAACATAGCCAAAGGATATACAAAATTTCTTTGAAATGCCGATGATTTCTTAAGTTTTTCCAATTCTTTACGCTCAGTTTCCAACTCTCTCAGTCTTTCGTTTAATTTGGCTTGATGATCATGTATCTCACCATTCATTGGTTTTCTTTGTATTAAATGTGATAATGAAGTACGTGATGATAGATTATTATAATAATAACTAAAATTATTTCTATTTTGTTGATGCGGTGAATGATGATGACCATTTAGCATGTTGTGTAAAATATAGCTGCCAGATGGTGTATCGTATGTTGTGTTATTGGATGAAAATGTACCATTAAGAGATTCGTTAATGCTAACATTTTGTAGCTCTAAATTAGCTAATTTACGTTTAACACTGGCTTCTTCCATATGAAAAGCAATATACTCTTCGTTGACATCACGCAAGAGATGTGGTTTAACCAAAACTTGGCCAACAACACCAAAGAGACGTACAAAGCCAAATGGTGTGCAAACTGGAAAGGAAAAGATATTAAAATAATACATTAAAAAAAATTGTTAAGGTAAAAAGTAAACACATTGTGAGATTTAGAAAAATATTTTTAAATTTTATACATAATTTCATGTCTGTACCTAGCCTAGTCTATAGTCTAGTCTATATTTTAGTCTGTAGTCAAGTCTATAGTCAAGCCTATATTTAGTCTATAGTCAAGCCTATAGTCAAGCCTATAGTCTAGTCTATAGTCTAGTCTATACTCTAGTCTATAGTCTAGTCTATAGTCTAGTCTATAGTCTAGTCTATAGTCTAGTCTATAGTCTAGTCTATAGTCTAGTCTATAGTCTAGTCTAGTCTAGTCTATAGTCTAGTCTATAGTCTAGTCTATAGTCTAGTCTATAGTCTAGTCTATAGTCTAGTCTATAGTCTAGTCTATAGTCTAGTCTATAGTCTAGTCTATAGTCTAGTCTATAGTCTAGTCTATAGTCTAGTCTATAGTCTAGTCTATAGTCTAGTCTATAGTCTAGTCTATAATCTAGTCTATAGTCTAGTCTATAGTCTAGTCTATAGTCTAGTCTATAGTCTAGTCTATAGTCTAGTCTATAGTCTAGTCTATAGTCTAGTCTATAGTCTAGTCTATAGTCTAGTCTATAGTCTAGTCTATAGTCTAGTCTATAGTCTAGTCTATAGTCTAGTCTATAGTCTAGTCTATAGTCTAGTCTATAGTCTAGTCTATAGTCTAGTCTATAGTCTAGTCTATAGTCTAGTCTATAGTCTAGTCTAGAGTCTAGTCTATAGTCTAGTCTATAGTCTAGTCTATAGTCTAGTCTATAGTCTAGTCTATAGTCTAGTCTATAGTCAAGTCTATAGTCAAGCCTATATTTTAGTCTATAGTCAAGCCTATAGTCAAGCCTATAGTCTAGTCTATAGTCTAGTCTATACTCTAGTCTATAGTCTAGTCTATAGTCTAGTCTATAGTCTAGTCTATAGTCTAGTCTATAGTCTAGTCTATAGTCTAGTCTATAGTCTAGTCTATAGTCTAGTCTATAGTCTAGTCTATAGTCTAGTCTATAGTCTAGTCTATAGTCTAGTCTATAGTCTAGTCTATAGTCTAGTCTAGTCTAGTCTATAGTCTAGTCTATAGTCTAGTCTATAGTCTAGTCTATAGTCTAGTCTATAGTCTAGTCTATAGTCTAGTCTATAGTCTAGTCTATAGTCTAGTCTATAGTCTAGTCTATAGTCTAGTCTATAGTCTAGTCTATAGTCTAGTCTATAGTCTAGTCTATAGTCTAGTCTATAGTCTAGTCTATAGTCTAGTCTATAGTCTAGTCTATAGTCTAGTCTATAGTCTAGTCTATAGTCTAGTCTATAGTCTAGTCTATAGTCTAGTCTATAGTCTAGTCTATAGTCTAGTCTATAGTCTAGTCTATAGTCTAGTCTATAGTCTAGTCTATAGTCTAGTCTATAGTCTAGTCTATAGTCTAGTCTATAGTCTAGTCTATAGTCTAGTCTATAGTTCAGTCTATAGTCTAGTCTTAGTCTAGTATAGAGTCTAGTATAGAGTCTAGTCTTTAGTTTAGTATATAGTATAGTTTATAGTCTAGAGTATAATCTAGTCTATAGTCTAGACTATAGGCTAATCTATAGTCTAGTCTATTTTCTAGTATAATTTAATCTAGTTTCTTTGCGAATGCCCGTCCCTAGTTTTTAGAAGAAACTGATTTCTTGGCAACGCATTACCAAGGATTCGTATAGAGAAACAGGTTCTAAAATAATATTAAGGTTACTATGGCAATAAAAAAACAAAATATGTGGCAACGATATTTATTTATTCTATTACCAAAAGACCATTTTCAACAGAAGCTAGAAAAACATTGAACACAATAATTAAAAAAAAAACTTAAATTTGTCAATTAAAAACAATTAACAATGAATACTCCCGGATTAGATGAAGATTTTTTGGAATTTGAATCAAAAGTTAATCAAGTTATGAAACTGCTGGAAGATATAAGCAATGCCAATAAAAAGGAGGGCGAAGAAGGAGCAACCAAAAAATCAGCGTAAGTTTAATCAACAGAAAATACATTTTTTCTTAACACCTCTAATTTCAGGACCAAAAATATTATGGATGAAATAAATGAAAATGATTTCATTATTACGGTCAAAGAGGACCGCACATCAATTAATAAAAAATCAGCAACAAAAATCGAAGAGGCCGATAAGAAAGATGTAGCTGAAATGGATAAATTTACGTTTATGAAACAGCTGGAACAAGATGCCGAAGAAAGAACAAAAAATAAAAGGGAGCGTGAAAGAATAGCTCAGAATTTTAGAAGGTTGGTTAAGAAGTAAATTTAATAATAATTTGTTGATAGGAGTATAATACAATTTCTTTTCAATATAGTTTGGGCAATGAAGCCTTCCGTAAACAAAGCTATGAAAAAGCCATAAACATGTATACCAAGGCCATAGATCATGTTAAGGATAGTCCTATATTATATAATAATCGAGCATTATCCTATATGAAGTAAGTAAACCTTAAACAATTAATATTTTGTTTGTCGAATTTTTCGAAAACCTGCAAAATTTGTTAAATATTTTAACAAAGCTATTACATTTTTAATTATTGAAATTCTTTTCAAGCTTAAGGTTAATAATAATTTTTTCTTTATTTATCTTTTACGTGTAGATTGAAAAACTATAAACGTGCTATTATGGATTGTGATTATGTTTTGAATAAATTGGAAGAGAAAAATCTACGTAGTTGGCTATATCGTGCTGCTGCTTATAAACGTTGTGGCGATGAAAAGAATTACGAAACTAGCATTAAGTTGGCACGAAAAAGTAATCCTAAGAAAACTGATTTTATTGATGATTTTTTAGATAAATTTGCCAGAGAATCAATATGAATATTATATTATATAAAATTAATAAAAACATAAATTTGATATAATTCTACTTACAAACAGCTACGTTCACAATTCTATCTTAATAAGCTAACACCAGCTTTTCCATGTTGAAAGCTAGGTACTCTTCATATAGCCCAGCCTAAAGTTTAGTTTACAGTCTAGAATTAGTGATCCATGCGCAAAGCAATGTATTCTTCGTATAATAGTCTATAGTCAAGTCTATAGTGTAGTCTATAGTTTAGTCTATAGTCTAGTCTATAGTGTAGTCTATAGTTTAGTCTATAGTCTAGTCTATAGTCTAGTCTATAGTCTAGTCTATAGTCTAGTTTATAGTCTAGTCTATAGTCTAGTCTATAGTCTAGTCTATAGTCTAGTCTATAGTCTAGTCTATAGTCTAGTCTATAGTCTAGTCTATAGTCTAGTCTATAGTCTAGTCTATAGTCTAGTCTATAGTCTAGTCTATAGTCTAGTCTATAGTCTAGTCTATAGTCTAGTCTATAGTCTAGTCTATAGTCTAGTCTATAGTCTAGTCTGTAGTCTAGTCTATAGTCTAGTCTATAGTCTAGTCTATAGTCTAGTCTATAGTCTAGTCTATAGTCTAGTCTATAGTCTAGTCTATAGTCTAGTCTATAGTCTAGTCTAGTCTATAGTCTAGTCTATAGTCTAGTCTAGTCTATAGTCTAGTCTATAGTCTAGTCTAGTCTATAGTCTAGTCTAGTCTATAGTCTAGTCTATAGTCTAGTCTATAGTCTAGTCTAGTCTAGTCTATAGTCTAGTCTATAGTCTAGTCTATAGTCTAGTCTATAGTCAGTCTATAGTGTAGTCTATAGTGTAGTCTATAGTTTAGTCTATAGTCTAGTCTATAGTCTAGTCTATAGTCTAGTCTATAGTCTAGTCTATAGTCTAGTCTATAGTCTAGTCTATAGTCTAGTCTATAGTCTAGTCTATAGTCTAGTCTATAGTCTAGTCTATAGTCTAGTCTATAGTCTAGTATATAGTCTAGTCTATAGTCTAGTCTATAGTCTAGTCTATAGTCTAGTCTATAGTCTAGTCTATAGTCTAGTCTATAGTCTAGTCTATAGTCTAGTCTATAGTCTAGTCTATAGTCTAGTCTATAGTCTAGTCTATAGTCTAGTCTATAGTCTAGTCTATAGTCTAGTCTATAGTCTAGTCTATAGTCTAGTCTATAGTCTAGTCTATAGTCTAGTCTATAGTCTAGTCTATAGTCTAGTCTATAGTCTATAGTCTAGTCTATAGTCTAGTCTATAGTCTAGTCTATAGTCTAGTCTATAGTCTAGTCTATAGTCTAGTCTATAGTCTAGTCTATAGTCTAGTCTATAGTCTAGTCTATAGCCTAGTCTATAGTCTAGTCTATAGTCTAGTCTATAGTCTAGTCTATAGTCTAGTCTATAGTCTAGTCTATAGTCTAGTCTATAGTCTAGTCTATAGTCTAGTCTATAGTCTAGTCTATAGTCTAGTCTATAGTCTAGTCTATAGTCCAGTCTATAATCTAGTCTATAGTCTAGTCTATAGTCTAGTCTATAGTCTAGTCTACAGTCTAGTCTATAGTCTAGTCTATAGTCTAGTCTATAGTCTAGTCTATAGTCTAGTCTATAGTCTAGTTTATAGTCTAGTCTATAGTCTAGTCTATAGTCTAGTCTATAGTCTAGTCTATAGTCTAGTCTATAGTCTATAGTCTAGTCTATAGTCTAGTCTATAGTCTAGTCTATAGTCTAGTCTATAGTCTAGTCTATAGTATAGTCTATAGTCCAGTCTATAGTCCAGTCTGTAGACTAGTCTATAGTCTAGTCTATAGTCTAGTCTATAGTCTAGTCTATAGTCTAGTCTATAGTCTAGTCTATAGTCTAGTCTATAGTCTAGTCTATAGTCTAGTCTATAGTCTAGTCTATAGTCTAGTCTATAGTCTAGTCTATAGTCTAGTCTATAGTCTAGTCTATAACTCAAAAATGCTAAGAGTGGGAACAGAGCTTATATTTGTTTTACACAATTTTCCACTTTTTCAAATATCCATTATATTCAACTTTGGAGTTAAATTTAAATAACTGCGTACATTGTAAATTTTCCAACAATTTCCAAAATGCAATTATTTACAGGTGTATAGAAAACAAATGAAAAAATCTCACAATGCAACAACATAAATATGTATAAACAAAAAAACTTACCAAGTAGCAGTAGCACACCCAAAAAAGATACACATGAATATAAAAATGGCAAATGAACGCTACCCAAATCTATAAATAAACAGAAGAAAACAAAAAAAGAAATAATTAATGACAATATCAGATAAGGTGGTAGTTAATATGACTAGGAAGGTATTACAATACACTGCACCCAGATAAATGATTTAAAATTACAAGCGTAAAATTTACAATAAATTTCCGCTATAAATTTTATATTCACTTTTTTCTTTTCACAACAGCTATCGAGATAATGAAATTAAAACTTACTTAATAGCGATAAAAATCCAATCTTTTCTGGATCCATAACAGCGGATAAAACATACGTGAGACCTAATACAACAAATGCCAACAGGCTAAATACTGTAAATGTTTCATAGACACGGGGTATAATGCCTTTTTTATTGCCAGAGAACCCGGTCGATTCGGTAAATAGATAAGCGAATGGCAGGAATACAAACAGGGAGAGATTGGAGAACAAAAATACATGATTCCAAAGACCTAAATAGAAAATGTAGAAAATAGAAAACAATTACAATAAACATACGAATACAACAAACGTTATACGTTTACAAACAAACTAACCCACCTTGGATCAATGAACTATTTAGCCATTTAACGTAGTAACTATTTGGATAAAGCAATAACACTTCATTGCTAGCTATGGAGACGGGTAATAATAGTGCTGCTCCAACTGCTATTGCCATTGAAAATGTACAAAGCCATGAGCTGTAAAATGATAAATTAAATTTAAAAAAAATAAATAAATAACAATCAATTCCAATAAAATGCAATAGATTTGTTTCGCTTGTTTTTCAATACATTTATCGACTATGGTTTGTTGTTGTGGCTAACGTGACTAATATTTACTATTATTGGTTATTTTATTTTACTCTTACCTTATGCGATAAACTAATAATTCATCTTCATCATTGGAAAATAAATCATCACGATCTTTGCGTCGAAAACGTGAAATTAACACATATGATGCAAAATATAATATAATCAAGAGGAGAAGAAATATCTGGAACGAAATGAAGAAGATAAAATTTAATAAATGTTTTATAAGTTTTTTTTTCATATAATTCCAAGACAATAATTTACTATTACTTTTAAAATTTGTGATATTTCATTCCTTTCTATTAAAGTTAGAAAACATTTTATAAGGAGCATTATAGTGCAGAGATGAAATTTCAGTACTAGTCAATACTCCGAAGAATAACCAAAAGACCAATCAAAGGACTAGTTCATAAACAAATTTCTAGAATACTCTAAGAAAAGTCCATAGACTAGTTAATAGACTAGTCCGTAGAATAGTCATTATGACAGTTCATAGACTAGGGTGTTGGCTCGTCCGTAAACTAGTCAATACATAGATTAGTCAAACGACTAGCCCATAGACTAGTCGGAAAAATTTTCCATAGATTTGTCAGTAGACTAGTCCATAGAAAAGTCTATAGCCTAGCCAATAGACTAGTTAATAGACTTGTCCATAGACTAGACAACAGACTAGATAATAGAATAGCCCATAGAGTAATCAATAGCCTACTCAATAGACTAGAACCTATAATAGTCATTATAACAGTCTATAGATTAGTGTCTGGGCTAGATCGTAAACTATTCAATATATAGATTAGTCCAAAGATTAGTCCACAGATTAGTCAGTAGAATATTCTATAGATTTGACAGTAGACTAGTCCATAGTCTAGATTAGTTAATATACTTGATAGAGTTGTCAATAGACTAGTCAATAGACCAGTCAATAGACTGGTCATCAGACCAGTCAATAGAGTAATTCATAGCTTAGTCAATAGACTAGTCCCTAGAACAGTCATTACATATAACAGTTCATAGACTAGTGTCATTTCTATTCCCTAAACTATTCAATATATAGATTAGTCAAAAGACTAGTTTATAGACTAGTCAGAAGAATATTCCATAGATTTGTCAGTAGACTAGTCCATAGTTTAGTTCATAGAGTAGTCCATAGTCTAATCAATAGACTAGTTAATAGGCATCTCAATAGTAGTTAATAGACTTGTCTATAGAATAATTAATAGTCAATAGACTATAAAATAGAATAGTCAATAGAATAATCAGTAGACAATACCATATATTAGTCAATAGATTAGTTAATAGACTAGTCAATAGACTAGATTGACTAGTCATTAGACTAGTCAATAGACTAGAACCTAGAATAGTCATTATAACAGTCCATAGACTGGTGTCTTGGCTAGTCCGTAAACTAGTAAATATATTAGTGGAAAGACTAATCCATAGATTAATCAGTGGAATATTCCATAGATTTGTCAATAGACTAGTTAATAGACGTTTCTATAGGCTAGTTAATAGACTTGTCAATAGACATAGTCAATAGACTAGTCAATCGAATAATCAGTTAATAGATTTATCAATGGACTATTCCATAGACCATTCTATATACTTATCAGTATGACTGTACAATAGACTAGTCAATAAACTAGCCAATAGAGTAGTCAATATACTACTAGATCAGAGAGTAGTCATTAAACTAGTTCACAGACATTGCAATAACCTAGTCAATGGACTTGTCCTACAGCTAGTCAATATACAAGCCTACTGAATATTTAATAAACTAGTCCATATGGTAGCCAATAGTCTAGTTCAAAGGCTACTCAATAGGATTATTCAATAAAACTTGTCTATAGTTCATAAAATAAAAGTTCTTTAAGTTTTCAAAAACTTTTACTGTAGCCCTCGTACGGCACAAGTTACCACTTTTAATCGACGATTCTAATCTTATACAAGTTGTTTCATTATTGACGATCATTTACTGATTATTACTTTGCTGATTAGCCCAAATTTTGATATCGAAATGAAAGCAAATAAAACTTAATCGAAATATAAACTCTAACATTATGACTACAACTACAAAATGTCCAATGTTTAGGGAAAAACCAGAATATTTAAAAAAATATATTTCTTTAAAATCTTTTATAACAATTAAAAGATAATAATACTTTTTAAATATTTCAAGTTTAAAATATTAAAACACAATTCTATAATCGCAGTTATAATGCATTTATATTATAAATTCATATATTTATAGCACACAGAATAGAACGAACGCACAAGAGGTCTTATAATCATTATCTCTAACAAAAGTTAATAATAAATCTATTTTAATAATAAAACAATAGTCAAACCGACAAATAAATTGAAATCAATATCAGTAATAAACAAAAAAATAAACATTATAATAAATAAAATAAAAAGTGTAGTAAAACGTCCACTGAGCCAAATGGACTTTGTAATGGGAAAATATCTTTTAGTTGACTAAAGACAAGAAAAATAGAAATTTAAGTAAATAATAGAAAATAAAAACAATTAGCAAAATAAATACAACAAGAGGTGGACAATAGTCAACTTGAAATTAAATAAAGAAAACACACTTGTTGATAATAATTGAAAAGAAAAGTTGTTTTTCAGATGCGAAACAACAACAAAATACATTCAAATCAACAAGATATTGAAATCCAACTAAATTAAGTGAAATATTTCTTAGCGCCAATTTAAACGAACTGGTTGCTGCTTTTAATTATTGTATTTATTTAGTTTTTTTTTTTCTTAAAAAAATCAAAACAATAATGTATCGAATTTGTTTTGTGTTTACAGTGTAACAAAGAATATATTAAACAAAAACAAATAGTTCCAAAGTATATATTTAAGATTCATAAATTGCAATTATTAGATGAAAACAAAGTTCATAAAAGAACTTCAAAGTGGATTTTATATTTTATATCTACTTTTAAAGAAATTTTTGAGGTTTGTTATTTAAAATGTTATTTAAAATACTGTATAGATATTTTATGGTAGATGTTGTATTATGACGCTTCAAAATTTTCGCAATCTAAAATCTCAATACAAATCTTTAATTGTTGTAGGTCAAACTATTTATTACTCTGTATATTTCACATACATATATTTTTGTTATGATCGCTGTCTTTCAAAAAAAAAAAGTGAAAAATATGAACAGATTTTATTTTTAAAATGAAAGTATGTATAAATATTTATAAGTGCAAGGCAAATATATAAACAGCAGATATTATATATACCCAATAAGCAAAAACCTTTGAAATGATGTAAATATGTATTTGAAAACCTATTCAAATTTCATACATAGCCTTTGAGAACAAATTTGAAAATTTTTGTTTTCAAATGGAAAATTATGGCCTTCTCAAACAAAAAGGCAGTTAGAAATCAAACGTATTTTTCAAATATATTTCAAATTTAAAAAAAGGCTAGAGGTAAGCTTGAAACTAAAAAAATTTTCAAACGTATTTCAAGTATTCTTTATTATTATTTTCATACATATTTCAAACCCTAATTATAATGCTAACTATTGCAAAATTCATATATTTTTTTACATCACCTGAAAATAAAACATTCATACATTTATTTTAGCATATTTTTCTTTTATATCTCCGATTATTTCTCCTATATTTAACGTTTTTTCGCTCCCTTGCTGTAGAAAAAATGTTCTGTTTTTATTTTTCTAAAATAATTTATTTTTTGAAAGAAACTTTTCTAAGTTCAATTAAAACAAAACTTTTAAAATTTTATAAATATCACACATTATATTTTTTTAAGCGTTTTTTGAAATTATCATGTTTATTTCAAAGGCTAAACTTTAAAATTTGAAAACAATTTGGAAAATACATTATTTAGTTAAGAAAATTTTCAAAAATATTCACAGGTTTGAATCGATGTTTATTGGGTAGGCTTTTTAAATACAATTGTTTTATTACGCCAATATTGTTATTTGTAATAATGTATTTTATTATACCCTACACCACTATAGTGGGGAGGGTATTATGCGTTTGTGCTGATGTTTGTAACACCCAAAAATATTGGTCCTACACCCACCTTAAAGTATACCAATCGACTCAGAATCACTTCCTGAGTCGATTAAGCTATGTCCGTCTGTCCGTCCGTCCGTCCGTCTGTCTGTCTGTGTGTCCATGTAAACCTTGTGCGCACTCTACAGGTCGCAATTTTTGAGATAATTTGATGAAATTTGGAACATACACTTCTCTTGGTCCAAGGACAAACGCTATTGAAAATGGTTGAAATCGGTCCATTATTTAACCTAGCCCCCATACAACCGGACCCCCCGAATAGGGCTTTTGACCTCATAATTATGCTAAATGATCTGCTATCTCTACAAAAATTGGAAAAGTTTAGTTTTATATATGTCTTAAAAATTCTAGTGATTTTCGTAAAGATCGGGCATTATTTGACCCCAGCCCCCATACAAAGTCCCCCTCAGAAAATGACTTGAATGTCCACAATTCACTTATAAACAGTAGTATCACGATGAAATTTGGCACAAATGAGTTTTATATAAACATAATTCCCAACAAAAAGTTTTATAGGGATCGGACCAAGTTTTACTCTAGCCCCCATATAAGCGGACCTTCCGATTTGGGCCTTTTAGATCATAACTTTGTCAAATATACTACTATCTCTCCAAAAATCGGCACAACTAAGTTGGATATAATTATAAATAACACTGTCGATTTTTATAATGATCGGGCATTATTTGACCCTATCCCCCATACAAAATCCCCTTCAGGAAATGACTTCAATGTCCACAATTCTCTTATAAACACTAGTATCAATATGAAATTTACCACAAATAGATTTTATATAAACATTTTATATAAAATGTCGACATTAAATTTTATAAGGATCGGACCAATTTTTGCCCTAGCCCCCATACAACCGGACCTACCGATTAGGGCCTCTTAGCTCATAACTACGATAAATATACTACTATCTTCCCAAAATTTGGCACAACTAAGTTTGATATGTAATTATAAATAACACTGTCATTTTTCGCCATGATCGGAAATAAAAAGTAGCCTATTGCCAGACATACGAATGTGCTGTGAAAATTTGAAGAAAATCGGTTTAGCCGTTTAGTAGTCTATAACGTTCAAACATACAAACATATAAACACACAAACATACAAACATATAAACA